TTCTATTGTGCAACAATGAATTATGCACCCTTGGCATGACACACCTTATGATTAAATAGCTCGTAGAACCACCTTTAGCTGCAATAACTTTAAGTAGTCATTTTCTGTATGACTTTATCAGTCTCTCTCATCGCTGCGGGGGAATTTTGGCCCACTCTCCTTTACAAAGTTGTTTCAGTTCATTGAGGTTTGCCGGCATTTGATCATGCACCGCTCTCTTAAGGTCCTGTCCAGGGCCGGTGCAAGGACTTCTGTCTACACAGGCGAAGACACATTTTGCTGCCCCCAAAATTTATCTTCACCTGTCTGTCTAATATTCCCACTTTTGCCCCTCTTACCAATTATTTTGCCCCTTTGCATCTTACCACCTTTTTCTCTTGTTTTCCTTTTTTGTATATTGTATCCTGTCTGGCATTATTTTTTACGTGTTTTGTGTCTTCATCCTACTTTTCTTTACCCCCTTGCATCACACACTCACTCGCTCATACACACACACACACTGACCATAACACACACACACAGGCTCTAATGCACACAGTCTCTTACACACTTGGATGGCTTATACACACTCACCGGCTCTAACAGACACACACAAACAGTCTCTTACACACACTGCTTATACACACTCACTAGCTGTAACACACACACAGTCTCACACACACACACACACACACTGCTTTACACTCACAGAGTCTCTTACACACACACAGTTTATAGACACACACACACACTAACTCTTACACAGACACACACACACTGGCTCTAGCACACACACATTAACACACACAAACACACTAACTCTTACATTCACACACTGGCTCTAACACACACACACATTAACACACACACTAACTCTTACATACACACACTGGCTCTAACACACACACATTAACACACACACACACACACTAACTCTTACACACACACAAACTCTAACACACACACACACACACACACACACACACACACACACACACACACACACACACACACACACACACACACACACACACTAACTCTTACACACACACACACACACACACACTAATCACACACACACACACACACACACTAACTCCTACACACACACTGGCTCTAACACACACACATTAACACACACACACACACTGGCTCTAACACACACATTAACACACACACACTAACTCTTACACATACACTGGCTCTAACACACACACACACACACACACACACACACACACTAACTCTTACACACACACACACACTAACTCTTACATACACACACTGGCTCTAACTCTAACACACACACACTAACTCTTACACACACACACACACACACACACTAACTCTTACACACACACACACACTAACTCTTACACACACACACACACACACACACACTAACTCTTATACACACACTTACTGTTTCTTATAGTTGCAAAACAGAGGTCCCGCTGCACTGTTGTAGCTTTCCTCCTCTCTCCACAGCAGTTGGCCGCCGGGATATGATGTCATGTATCCCAGCGGCCTGTAGCTCAGGAAGAGATTTGCCGCGGTCGCTCCTCGCTGTTCCGGCCCCTTCCCTCAGTGGGTGTACGTTTCCCAGCCAGCTGGGCTGATTGCTGCAGAAATTGACCGGCGGGAGCAGAGTTCTCCGTGCTCCCGCCAGTCACTCGGACATTTTTGCGCCCCTTGGGTCCGTGCGCCCTAAGGCGGCCGCTTGTGCCGCCTTATGGTAGCGCCGGCCCTGGTCCTGTCACAGTATTTCAATCAAGTTGGGGTCTGGTCTTTGACTGGGCCATTGCAACACCTTGATTCTTTTCCACCATTCTGTTGTAGATTAGCTGATGTGCTTGGAATCACTGTCTTGTTGCATGACCCAATTACGGCCAAGCTTCAGCTTTTGGACAGATGGCCTGACCTTTGACTCTTAAATACTTTGCTGTACAGAGGAGTACATGGTCAGCTCAATGACTGCAAGGTTCCCAGGCCCTGTGGCTGCAAAACAAGTCCAAATCATTGCCCCTCTACCATCGTGCTTAAAGGACCACTATAGGCACCCAGACCACTTCAGCTTAATGAAGTGGTCTGGGTGCCAGGTCCATCTAGGGTTAACCCTGCCTGCTGTAAACATAGCAGTTTCAGAGAAGGGTTAATCCAGCCTCTAGTGGCTGTCTCATTGACAGACGCTAGAGGCGCTTCCGCGCTTCTCACTGTGATTTTCACAGTGAGAAGATGCCAGCGTCCATAGCAAAGCATTGATAATGCTTTCCTATGAGACTGGCTGAATGCGCGCGCGTCTCTTGCCGCACATTCGCATTCAACCAATGATGGAAGAAGAGGGAGGAGAGTCCCAGCGCTGAGGGAGCCTGGCGCTGGAAAAAAGGTAAGGGATTAACCCCTTCCTCCCCCTTCAGCGCCACGGGAGTGGGACCCTGAGGGTGGGGGCACCCTCAGGGCACTATAGTGCCAGGAAAACAATTATGTTTTCTTGGCACTATAGTGGTCCTTTTACAGTTGGGATGAGGTGTTTGTGCTGATATGCTAAATATGGCTTTTGCATTTTGCATTATGGACAAACATTGTTCATTGTTCAAGAAGTCTTGATGTTTGCTTAGATGCAACTTTGCAAACCTAGGCTGTGCTGCCATGTTCTTTGTAGAGAGAAAAGCCTTTCTACTGAAGTGGAAACCCTTGTAAACAAACCATATTTGTTCAGTCTTTCTAATTGTATTGTACAGTCTGCTAATTGAGGCCTATAGAGTCTGAGATGAAACTCTTGAGTTATTTTACAATTTCTCTGAGCATTGCACGGTCTGACCTTGGGATGAGTTTGCTGGGACGTCGACTCCTGGGAAGATTGGCAAATGACTTGAATGTTTTCCATTTTTGAATAATTATTCTCACGGTAGAATGATGAAGAGTACACTTCATGTCACTATAGAAAATCACATGACCTGCTGTCACCTCGCACTATTTCACACACCATCTATCTTTTAGCAAGTCCACACTTTTCACTTTGGATCTCTTTTTCAGTTGGTCAGAGTACTGAGTTCACCTTAAATGATCTACATTGCAAAATAGCTCTAGCATCTGATAATCTTTGTGGGGGTTTTTTCTAGCTGAATTAGTATATATTACTTATTGGTATTGTGGTCTAAAGATATGTTAAAATAGCCTTTGCTGCAATACCAGTTTGTATGGGTCATCCGATGTTGTTTTGGTTAAGAGGGGGCTTGTAATAGGGAAGAATAGCATGGGTTGCGAGTTACAGTTGTTGGAGCCTATGATAAAAGGTGTTGCAACTGGCAGGTTACCTACACAAGACAGTTAAGACCAGGAAAAACTAAAACCAAGATTAAGCACATTCTGGGTACTGTAAATACAGAGGGATCACACTCATGAAAGAGCTAAGCTATGCAGGACTTTATTCCTGGTTGGCTACCGGAGTGCCAGGAAAGCTTACTCCACTACAAGTGCACTATATACTGTATAGTGGTGGGAGATTTTAAATATATAATTATAATGTGACAGACCACTCGGTCACCAAGGACTGGTACATGCCTTCCAACCGACACCTCCCTCTAAGAACAATAATCACCACATTTTACCCCTCCAGCCTGTGCCTCTCAGCTCAGTGCACATTCCAGTAGCCTAAGAGTCATCATAGACTAGCAGGAGACTCATAGATGCACGACGCACCTGACCGGAAGCAGCTTACAATTCTTCTAGAGCTCCTAATCGGATTGCGGAGTTGCCGCGGTCCGATAAAACTTTGTCAAGGGCGATCTCGGTCCCAGAGTCGCAAAACAGGGGCACTATTTGGAAGGGTGATAGGGTTGGAGGTGACGAGGCACTAAACGATACCAAGGACTTGAGAGAGCTCCATGTCCCGACAGAAAGCGCCATCATTTTCGATGATCGGGATTTCTGTGCCGGATTAACGGCCCAGGGAAGACATCACTTCCAGCTGGATGAAATGGTGCCCAACAGGGGTACAGTATTTGTTTTCCTTGTGGTTTTTGATCCTTCAGGCCCTTCTTCTACTATTTACTACCCATCTCCTTCTCTAACATTATCAGTGGTTTTAAGTGTTAATTTTGGTTTTATTTTTCTGCTGAAGGGAAGAAGAAGAAGATGGTATTCTGACTCTCCTGTCTTTTTCAATGTGTGGATCTAGTGACACAGAAATGGTTTTGGTTTTCTTTGGAGCAGGTAAGAGAATTCTGTGCCTGTAGACACGCAAGATCTACATTTAGCGCTAGAGTTCTTATCGCATGCCCTTTCTCTAGCACTAGATATGCTATGCATATATGCTATGCTATGTTGAATTACGTTACAGCTATATTTAATCACTATCTGTGGTTTTAATAACTGTCTGTGGTTAGTTTGTTCTTGGAGGTCAGGCTAATTGTTTGTCCGTTTGTACAGGGGACACTCTGGGTATATACATTTAAACTGTAACACTTGCATCTCTGTAAGTACCATTTCCTCATTCTCTCACCGCAGGAAACATTACAGAATCCTTACTTTGGTGAGGAGTGCAGCGGATTTAAATATAAAAAAAAACCTCAGCTCCTCTACATCTCCAGCCTCCAGGTGTGAATGACAGCATGACAAAGGGCAGAATGATACTTAGAGCTCCATCATTTTTTTTTTTATGCCATGTTCTCTGATTATTATATCATTTTATTTTACAAACTATAGCTGAATTTTGTTAAAGCAGAAGCAACAGATCCAGCTTAAATCGAGAATATACATGTGAGTGAATGTTATGGTTAGTTATTAGATTGCAAAATACAATTTAACCCCATTTATTGTGAAATGGAGATTCTCCCAAGAAGTCTTTTTACTGAATTCACCTGAGCCTATGCTACACCTGTACAAAGCAGTACTGAGTGCAGACACGTGGTGGCACTGTCACACACGTATCACGCATGTTAGAGGAGGTGTAGTTCTCTCTGAAACCATGTGGTGGCGCTCCAGTTCTATGGATCTTAGGCTGGGGGCATGCTCTTCTGGAGCACGCAGTGAGTTACTGAGAAGGAGTCCCTTAGTGTGACAGTTAAAGGCTAGTGAGTATGAGGACACACTGCAAGCTGAGTAAACTCTGCACAGACCTCATAACTTGTTCCTGGAGGTGAGTTTCTGGGTTAATTCTTTTTCACTCTTTATCCCCTGGGTAAGAGGGGGGTGTAGATTTGTTCTTTTTAATAAATCCCACATACATAGAAAGACCATTCTGTCAACACCTACAGGCTGCTTGGGGGACACATGTCTATTTTTACTTGCATTGCTCTGGAAGGGCTCTTTGCAAAGCTACATCATGGGGCATTTCTCTTGTTTGTAGATCTGGGGCCATAAAGCAAGGTTATCTGTATCATTTTATTGGCCCTCTGTATAGAGTGACCCCTGTATTAGAAGAGATGATCAGCTGAAATGTGCTATGTTTGCTGCGCTATTGTGGGGTAAGGTTCCAGAAATGGAGCAATCACCATGGGGACCAATGGAATGTGGCTGTTTCACTTTTAGAACGTTGCCCCAGAAGTGCTCTGTATGTTATGGCTGGAGTGGATTCGGTGCTGATGTCAGATCTCTGATATTGCTTGCTCACTGCTGCTGGGCTAGTGACAGTGACAGAGAGGATCTCTCACTTTGCAGATCCTATTAGTTAATCCAGATTACATCACTGTATAACTCATGTGTTATGTTATATTCTAGAATTGAGATGGCAACACCTGGACCCCCAGCTGTGCTAACTATTGGCCACCCCTTTGTTAAAAGGTAGCTTTGCACTCCAAGGTTACAGCTCTGCAGTGCTCTGCACATATCTGGAATAGCTTTACTCTAAATGTATAGTTTTGATGGTATATTATAATTATTATTATTATTATTGATATTTATATAGAGCCAACTTATTCTGTAGCGCTGTACAATATTCTAAACTATTATTCTCTGGATTAATGCTGTAACATAGTTTTGCTCTGTATATTTCTAATCAGAGCTCATGGATTTGTGTACTACTAATACTGTGTACACCTCAGATGGAAGCTGTGCTGGAGCTGGAGCTCTGTATATGCTCCAGAAGGGAGCTTTGATACAGCTGAGGCTGTGTTTACTCATGGTGAGAGCGGTGATACAGTTCTGATTGGAGCAGTGCTTTTAGCACAGATTACTAATGTTGTGATACACTTTGTACTGGCATACACCTAGTTTGTACACCATTGACTGTGTGCATACCAGATTTCTGAAAGAAATCCTTTTGCAAACACTGTTATTTGTGTTGGGCAGCGAACCAGAATAGACATCAGTTACCACATTTTATCTGCAGGAGAAATGATCTGTTATTCTACGAAATGAAAAAAAGGAGCAGGTTTGAACTCTATCTCCTTTTCATAATCACTCGCTTTGAACTTCTGTAGGAATGTAATAGTAAGCTCTGTGGGACAGGGCCCAATGTGGCTGTATTCATTTCTAGTGTTATTCTGATACATCTACAAGGTTTTGAAATTGGCACTTTGTGTGGTTATACAGTTGCAAGAAAAAGTATGTGAACCCTTTGGAATGATATGGATTTCTGCACAAATTGGTCGTACAATGTCATCTGATCATCATCTAAGTCACAACAATAGACAATCACAGTCTGCTTAAACTAATAACACACAAAGAATGAAATGTTGCCATGTTTTTATTGAACACACGGCGTAAACATTCACAGTGCAGGTGGAAAAAGTATGTTCAAATACTTTTTCTTGCAACTGCATTCTAATGAGAATTTAGAGGATACGATTTTAATATTATGTTTCCTTATCACCTGTATTTTACAAAAGAAATCTGAGACATCTGGAAAATAAAATAAAATTTAGGAATTGACATTGTTGAATTTAGTTCTATCCTGGACCAGAGCACATTGATTGAACTGAGCATTTTGACTCCCTGTCAATCATTTCCTTAAAAAACAGCCTATGCATCTGTAATTCTGTATAGAAAGCATAATCGAAGAAGGAGGAATGGAAGCAATGGTTTGTTTGAAATCTTCTTTGGAAATTTCTGTTGGTACCATTTATTGTTAAGATTTATAGAGGGGTTCCATTTAACCCTATCAGTAATTGTTTTTAGTTGACGCAAACAAGTACAAGTTGAAAGCATAGCTGGGATGTGTAGTTAGTACATACCGTTTTACCTCTGTATTGCTGTACATGGGATAGAAAGAAGTACGCAAGTATTGGAGGATGTAACACTATTACATATCATTATTATTTTATTATTTATATAGCGCCAACAAGTTCCGTAGCACTGTCCAATGGGTGGACTAACAGATACGTAATTGTAACTAGACAAATGGACCCACAGGAACAGAGGAGTTAAGGACTCTGCGCAATGAGCTTACATGCTAGAGGGAGTGGGGTATAGTGACACAAAGGGTATAGGTAGGGGTAATGAAATAGGTTGCAACAAAAGTATTCACTGAGAACTTATTTCATAAAAGACTTCCTTATTTTAAATTACATAACAGTTCTAAAATAGAAGCGTAAGTGTCATGTTTGTCAAAGGCTAAATAAAATAGTCAAATATGATGTTAATGGGAAAACTGTTTGTTTTTTGGTTGTGGGTGCAAATTGACAGCATATGGACATATGGTCCTTAAACAGCAAATAGTTGCTTGGTTAAAACTAGGCATCGGTATTATAGAGGAACATCACACTGTGCAATGCCCTATAAAATACAGATCCCTAAATTAAGAGAAAAAAAGCTCTGTGCTCACTAACCCTCTTGTATAAAATAAATCTTGATTGAATTGTTGATTATGTTTTAATGGGAGCAAGGGAAATGATATCCGTCAATTTGAGAAAAGTAAGTTCTTCTATAAACCTCAATCATTCAGCCAGTAGATTATAAGTATACTGCTTGAACACTGATAGGAGTCATAAACTCATAAACAATTTAACATTTGTCTTCAGTTCCCCTTCTATTTTTATTGTCTTCCTTTGTGCTTTACACACACACACACACACACACAATAACATCTTTGCATCTTACTCAGGTATGGTTCTTAGAAAACTTTGGTAACTGGAGGACAGACGATCCCCTCATTCCTTTGTAACTGATCACCCTGACTCAAAAAATGCTGTAGTGACAATCGTGATGGTGCGCACCCATCTACGCACCAAGTAAGCATCAACATATCTTCCTTAAGAGAACATTGAAGACCTTAGAGTCGTTTAGATCAGGGGTACTTATTTTGGTCGGGGACTTCAATCTCCCATTAGAACCGAAGCTGGACTCCTCAAGGACCAGCACAATACAAGCACATGTACTGCGCAACTCATGTAAAACCTTGGCCAAGAAGCGCCTGGTTGACTGCTGAAGGGTGCAACACCCAGAGAAGCAGGATTTCACCTTACACCAAACTTATTCTAGACTACCTTTTCAAGAGACAGGAACACTTAACTGACCTAGCTGATTCCACGATAAATACCATCACATGACCTGACCATGCCCTGGGCTCCGCACGGTTCCTCTCCCCCTCATACGGACGCTTTAACGGACTTGGCGACTCAATGAGTCTCTCTTATTGGATTTGGAGGCAAGGACCCACATTTCCGTGATACGACAGGCTACACCGATACTTTCCCGAAAACAGACTGGATGGGGCCTTCCAGATATCAGTATGGGAGGCACATAAATGTGCACTTTATGGTAACACGATTAGTTTCTGCTCGTGGACGAAGAAACACTGATCAAAGAAGGTACAAATGCTTGAAGATAGCAGACCTTGAAGCCAAACATACAGGGATACAGGGAGCTCGTATCTGCCCACCACACACTGACGACCCTATTGTCCACTCACATACAACAATTACTCATCAAAACGAAGAAGACGTTCTGTGAGCACTCCAATAATTGTGGGAAGAAACGTCCCACTTCCTATCTACACATTGAACTAGGCATTCTGAAAAAAAAGTTAAATTCTTGCCACAAGTATAAAAAAAATTGCAGGGACAGCCTCACACAATACATCGTAGGCCAGCTTGTTGTGTGGAAAATGAGATTGCTGCTTTAAAATTGGGTAATAATACTAGCATATCAATACGATTGGCTGTATTCTTTCAGCCAATCACATTGCCCAATAAATTTCCCCACTGCAGTAAACTATTCAGTTTATTTATTCACATTTTTTTTTTGGTTTGTTGTTTTTTTCATTTCATTTTTATTGAAAGTTTAACATTTTTTCAGAACAAAATAGCAGAGAGAGGAGATGCAGCAATATTGTGGGTAAGGGGTGGTGGAAGGCAGGATACAATTAGAAATGGTTCCAACAGTAAGCTAAAAACACATAATATTCAGACAGATTCCACTGATTGCGGTTTTCATTGGGTCAGTTCAGTGATGTCATGGTTTAGTCGTTAGCGTGCCAGTATGCCTCTCTATCTGGACAGATGTTATCGCACTTTGCGGTGGTGCCTGCTGAGCTTTGCATGATACATTCTCAAACCATGTTAAAGTTCACACAAGAGACTCACCATTTCTAGAGAGGGGCAATCTAAAGGCTTCCAGAATTTGACAATAAAATGTTTGGAAGCTAAGAATAAACAGCATAAAAACTCGAGTTTAGCTCATGAGATATCTAGGAAGTACCGCTGAGGTAAGTGTGTTTTATACTTGTCTCTGCTGAATTCCTCAGCCCAGTAAATGCTTGGGTGTCAAACAGTGGCGTACACATGACCCATGGGGCCCCGGTGCGAAAATTGATCCGTGGGCCCCCCTCCCCCCCCCCGCGCGGGCCGGGCCGCAACACATGGCGGTGGGCACCTGGTCGCAGGGGTTACAGGGCTGCGACCCCTGCGACCGCGGTATGTACGCCAGTGCATGCAGATGCACACACACTTAAAGGACCACTCTAGGCACCCAGACCACTTCAGCTTAATGAAGTGGTCTGGGTGCCAGGTCGAGCTAGGGTTAACCCATTTTTTCATAAACATAGCAGTTTCAGAGAAACTGCTGTGTTTATCAATGGGTTAAGCCTTCCCCTATTTCCTCTAGTGGCTGTCCCATTGACAGCCGCTAGAGGCGCTTGCGTGCTTCTCACTGTGATTTTCACAGTGAGAGCACGCCAGCGTCCATAGGCATTATGAATGCTTTCCTATGTACCGGGATGCGTGCACAGCTCTTGCCGCGCGTGCGCATTCAGCCAAGCGAAGGGAGAAGAGGATCGGAGGAGGAGGCTCTCCGCCCAGCGGTGGAAAAAGGTAAGTTTTACCCCTTTCCAGAGCCGGGCGGGAGGGGGTCCCTGAGGGTGGGGTCACCCTCAGGGCACTATAGTGCCAGGAAAACGAGTATGTTTTCCTGGCACTATAGTGGTCCTTTAAAGGACCACTACAGACACCCAGATCACATCAGCTCAATGAAGTTGTCTGGGTGTCAGGTCCCTCTAGTTTTAACCCTGCAGCTAAAAACATAGCAGTTTCAGAGAAACTGCTATGTTTCACTGAGGGTTAATCCAGCCTCTAGTGGCTGTCTCACGGACAGCCGCTAGAGGAGCACACTGAACGCCCATAGGAAAGCATTGAGTAATGCTTTCCTATGGGCGGTTTGAATGGGTGCGCGGTCGCATTCGGAGCTGAGAGGCTGAGGGATCCTCAGCACCAAGGGAGTCCGGCGCTGGAGAAAGGTAAGTGCTGAAGACACACACACTCTCACTTACAGACGCATACACACTAGCTAACAGACACACATTTACTGACAGAGATACAGTCAGCGACAGACATACATACACACTCACTTACAAAACATACACTCTCATTGACAAACACACACTCACTAACAGACATCAAACAGACTCAGTAAGACACACACAGTAACACACTCACTGACACTCACTAGCAGACACACACACTAACACACTAACACTCACTAGCAGACACACACTAACACTCACACTAACACTCACTCTAACACTCACTCACACTAACACTCACTCTAACACTCACACACACACTAACACTCACACATGATTTTTTTTTTTTTTAATATAATCCCCCCAGCCTCCTTACCTCTTGGAGTGCTGGGGGGGATTATTCCCTGGGGTCCAGTGGGGCTCCTGGGCGGGTGGTCGGTCGGGCAGGCAGGCGGGCGCGCGAGGGAGCACTCAGTGCTTCCTCTTCAGCTCCCTCGCGCCCCGCGTAGGGATGCCGGCGTCGGAAGATGACGTCATCTTCCGGCTCCGGTATCAGTGCGGTGCGCGAGGGAGCTGAAGAGGAAGCACTGAGTGCTCCTTCGCGCGCCCGCCTGCCTGCCCGACCGACCACCCGGGGTCAGCAGGGCCAGCCTCAGGGGGGCCCTGGGGTGATCGGCTCCTGGGCCCCCCAGGGGAAGAGGCTGGCCCTGGGCGTACATACCGGGTCGCAGGGGCGGCCGGGCCCCCTGGTGGGCCGGGCCCGGTCGCAGTCGCGACCCCTGCGACCCTGGTATGTACGCCAGTGGTGTCAAACATGCGGACCCCCAGATGTTGCTGAACTACAACTCCCATGATTCCCTGGCTATCTGTTTCATTGAAAGAATCATGGGAGTTGTAGTTCAGCAACATCTGGGGGGCCGCATGTTTGACAACCCTGCGAATGGGAGCAAGGGAAATGGTATCCATCATTTTGAGAAAAGTATGTTCTTCTTTAAACCACAATCATTCAGCCAGTAGATTATAAGTAAACTGCTTGAAGCTTAAACACTGATAGGAGTCATAAACATTTTAACATTTGTCTTAGGTTCCCCTTCTATTTTTATTGGCTTCCTTTGTCCGTTAGCTTTGCTAAAAATATATGTTTTGTAAGAAATTTTTTTTTCTTAGTCTTCATCTGGAGACACATTTCAGGACAAGAGTTTTTGTGTGTTTTTGTTTATATTTTTTCTTAATTTTAATAATTTTTTGTGTAAAAAAACAATAAAGTTAATATATAAAAAAAATAAAGCCGATAAAATAAAATTGTATAATGCTTATTTATTACATGACAAACTTTACTGAGCGATCTAAATTGCTAGCCAATGTATCAATACAGAGTTGCCCTCAGTACAGCATAACTAACTGCTAGAATGCTACCAGATGCTTATATGATGATTATGCACAGCTGCATGCTGGGACGGTGGGATGCTGCACATACCATTTACTGAATCCATTCACTGCAGCTACTACACTGGAGAATGCAACATGGCTTACCCAAGACTTTATTCTGCATTCGTCCAAGGACAAAATTCTCTTACTTAAAGGGACACTATAGCCCCCAAAACAACTTTAGCTTAACAAAGCAGTTTTTGTGTGTAGATCATGCTTCTGGAGTTTTACTGCTCAATTCTCTGCCTTTTAGGAGTTAAATCGCTTTTGTTTCTGTTTTTGCAGCCCCAGCCACACCTCCCCTGGCTGTGACTGACACAGCCTGGATGAAAACAAAATGGTTTAAAGGGACACTAGAGGCCTCCAGACCACATCAGCTCATTGAAGTTGACTGTGTGCAGTGTCCCAGGTCACTTAACCTTGCAGCTGTAATTATTGCAGTTTTTTAGAAACGTCAATAATTACCTGCTAGGGTTAACTCCACGCTGGAAGTCCTCATGTTCATGACTTCCCCATATAACCCCATCCTTTCCTATGGGAAAATCCCTAATGCACCCAGGGCACGGGGGAGGAGCCCAAGCCAGTAATCCTGGATGTGAATTTGTATTCTGTACCAGTAAGGTCCATTTTGCCTTTTTTTATTTTAACAAAGTGACAAAACTCTGGGAAATGTTGGTGAAAATATGTTGTCGTGCCAGTGTCACAATCTGTTGCAGAGTTCTGTGAGATTACAAGTGTGATATAAATTGACCGTCACAAAGCACAACACAGCTACATACGTCTTGGAATGGTTAGGGGAAGGTCTGTATGAGTTAGATGGTGTCAGATCAGCTAGCGGCTCAGAATACTTTGCTGCAAATCTTTGTCTAGTAAATTACCCTTCATTGTTCAGAAATCTGCAGCTCAAACTAGCATATATCAGCTGCAACGCAGGGTACGGCCCATCCCAACTGCCTGAGGGGTATTCAGAGAGTTTTCTGTGTGTGTTTCTTTAATCTGAATGTTTGCAGTATCTGAGCCGGTTCAATAATATATATCTTTTAATTCCAGCTCTTCCCCATGAGGTCCCTCTGATGTGGATATCTAGAATGGCTGTATTCAAACAGCAGAGAGTGGAGGATCTTTACAGTATTGCCGAAGAATTGGGAAGGTAACGCTAAGATTATTTTTTTTTAAAGAGATACGGTCTGATCTACACAGAATGTTAGCGGCACAGGGTAGCATGGCAAGCAAATGGCTCTTTTCACTTGAAGGTGATTTTAATAATAAAAGTGAAAAAAGAGTTCAGAAAATGTTTTTCAAAGGTTTCTGTTATTTTGGTCAGTAATTTTAAAGTTTTTAAATCACTACACTTCACTGTTAAATAAATAAGGAGAATAAAGAGCTAAGTTTGGTGCGTTAGCGCCATCTTCTCCGATATCTGCGCCAAGGGGAATCTAAGGCGAGTGCACTGCATGCGCGTTAGGCATTTCCCATAGTAAAGCATTGAATCAATGCTTTCCTATGGGGAATTTAGAGACGCTGGATGACCCCATGCACAGTATGAGGCTGTCCAGAGCCGTGTCACTGAATTTAACTCCACGACACAGCTGGAAATGCCTTAGAAAATTAGTCTTTCTCCCACTTGTCAATCAATTCTTTAGCATAGAGTCTATCCTGAAGAATTGCGTGACCGAGAGTGCACTAACATAGATTAACATTATTTCATATTTCTATAGCACCAACATATTCCACAATAATGTACAATGGGGGGAATACAGACAAATAACGAACATGGTTATACCTTTATACGGTTATACAGCAGAAATATATTGCACTGTTGAAATGAAGTGTCATTTATTCATTTGTTTGAATTTGTCTATTTTTTGCTTTTGTTAATTCCATGTTATCTTTAAAGGACCACTATAGTGCCAGGAAAACATACTCGTTGTCTGGGACTATAGTGCCCTGGGGGTCCCCCCACCCTCAGGTTTCCCCTCCCGCCGGGCTCTAGGGGGTGGAAGGGGTTAAACTTACCTCTTTCTCCAGCGCCGGGTGGGAGACTATCCTCCTCCTCTCCGTCTCCTCTCCTCCTCCTCGGCTGAATGAGCATGCGCGGCAAGAGCCGCGAGTGCATTCAGCCAGTCTCATAGGAATGCATCCTATGGACGCTGGCGTCTTCTCACTGTGATTTTCACAGTGAGAAGCACGCAAGCGCTTCTAGCGGCTGTCAACGAGACAGCCACTAGAGGCTGGATTAACCCTAATATAGAAACTGCTATGTTTATAGAAAAAAGGGTTAAACCTAGCTGGACCAGGCACCCAGACCACTTCATTAAGCTGAAGTGGTCTGGCTGCCTATAGTGGTCCTTTAAAGTGTCACACTGTTAATATTAATAACAGAAGTGCTATAAATAATTATTTTTGAACAGGGGTGTGGTGTGGTGCGTCAAGGTAGACTCGGCCAATGCTGCCTGCCTCGCTGTAGGAATTTTTCCCACAATTTATATTGACATAATGTGTGTTACTTTGTATGATTGATTTATAAATTTTTAGTAGTTATTCTAAAGTGTAATATTGACATTGATTGTCCATTGTCTGGTATTCTGCACTGTTCCATTCAGGATTTTTTTTGTGTGTAGAATTATTGCAAATTTTGTGGCTTGGGTGGAGATACTTTTTCTTGTTGCTAATTTTTCACTAAAAGGTTCAATTCCTCTGACAATTTTCCACAGTTTCCATTTTAGTAGATAAAGTAATGGCTGCCATGCCTTCATACAGTTACATACTACCAAGACACACATAGCAATACACATTCCTGGATACGAACACACATAGATATGTAATCCCAGATCAAACAAAGATGCACACTGCTAGGTACACACACATACACACACAATCCAAGTACACACTCACAAATACACAGATGCAAACACAGATATTGACTGCCAGACAAACACACATCAATGCTTTCCTATGGACGATGGCGTCTTCTCAATGTGAAAATCACAGTGAGAAGCGCGGAAGCGCCTCTAGCGGCTGTCAATGAGACAGCCACTAGTGGCTGGATTAACCCATAGGTAAACATAGCATACAGCTGCAGGGTTAACCCTAGATGGACCTGGCACCCAGACCACTTCATTAAGCTGAAGTGGTGTGGGTGCCTATAGTGGTCCTTTAAGGGGTTAAGAATGAACTTCTGCATTAATGTTCACAATGGTGAAGCTGCTTGATGTGCTACTTTCCACTGTGAGCAAAATCCACTCAACTGACATGCAAAGTACAAGGCACACCTAAACTACTTAAAGGCCAAGATGACAGGGCCTTCTATGACACCTGCCTATAATCTGCTACATTGCATTACCACCACATTGCAAAAATGCCCACCATTTAGCTGCAACCAAAAAGCCGAGCATATGCCCTTTTCTGATTCTGTAGAAGGGTGAATACTTGAGTTTCTTTCCCTCACTTCCTTTCGGTGTCTGTTTTGTCTTGCCACATTCCCAAGAGTGGCTTTACCCCAGTGTACTCCACTTCGTATTGTCATTACACTCTAAGTTATAGGGGTATAAGAGAAGCTTTAACCCTGTGTCCTTAGCGTTCCGGGGTGCTCTATAATCCCTGATGCTTTAGGCAGTAAACCCCATTACTTTCAGTAATACTGCGCAGTTCACAGCATTTTAACTAACCCAATGTCCCAGCCCTAACCCCAGTTAAATCATGTGAAATGGGACCATTATAAACCATGCTGGAATAGCTTGCCGCTTTGTGAATACATTTCAGCATTGTTCAAACAGAATACAACATAAAAAAAAAAGATTCTGAAAATAATCAGTCTACAAGCGTTCAAGAGGAAATGACACTTCTTCAATTTTAGAACAAACTAATTCGCTAACTAGAAGTTAGCTACTGGTTGTGCAAAACTTTATTTTTAACATTCTTTGTAGTTTATTTTATTTAAATGTACATGCTTTGCCACGCAAAGCTGCTGAGTGTGCATGCGCAAATGCAGCAATTCTGTTAGATGCCCTAAAGTGCATGCTCAAGGCATCATGGGAAGGTGATGTCAATGCAACATGGAAGAGCCACAGTGGTAAGTCAAATTTTACTTACTTCTGCTATTTATTCCCCCTAAAAATGATTGAATATGCATCTAATGGGGTGAAGGAACAAAGAACTGTCACTACTGTTATTGCAGCTTAATTTGCTGAAAAACACAATAATGGCCATGATAGAAAGGTGTCAGAACACACAGTGCATCGCAGTTTGTTGCGTATGGGGCTGAGTAGCCACAGACCGGTCCATCCAGAGTGCTAATGTTGACCTCTGTCCGCCGCCGAAAGTGCCTTCAATGGGGACATGAGCATCAGAACTGGACCATGTAGCAATGGAAGAAGGTTGTCTGGTCTGATGAATCATGTTTTCTTTTAGATCAGGTGGGTGGCCAGGTGCATGAGCATTGTTTACCTGGGAAAGAGATGGCAGAAGGATGCACTATGTGAAGATGGCAGGCCAGCAGAGTCAGTGTAATGCCCTGGGCAATGTTCTGCTGGGAAACTTGGTTCCTCGCATTCATGTGGATGTTACTTTATCATGTATCACCTACCTAAAGATTGTTGCAGACCATGTACACACGTTCATAGCCAGGGTGTTCCCTGATGGCAGTGGCCTCTTTCAGCATGATAATGCACCCTGCCACACTTCAAAAATTGTTCGGGAATGGTTTGACAAAGAGTTCAAGGTGTGGCCTTGGCCTCCAAATTCCCCAGATCTCAATCTGATTGAGTATCTGTGGAATGTGCTGGAACAACAAATCCAATCAATGGAGGAACTAAAAGGATCTAATGCTTATGTCTTGGTACCAGATCCCACAGGACACATTCAGAGGTCTTGTGCAGTCCATGCCTTGACACATCAGAACTGTTTTGGCATCATGATGGGGATCTACAGAATATTAGGTTGGTGGTTTTAATGTTTTGGCTAATCTGTATTTTTTTATATATATATATATATATATATATATGTTTAAAGACAGAAGCAACACCACCGGGATAATAATATCGTTGCTTGTCACTCAGGTGTGGTTCTTATAAAACTCGGTAGACAGAAAATAATTTAATTAATATCAACAATTACTACGCGTGTTTAGTAAGACCTGGCACGTTCATGTAGTATTGTAATCCCTTGTCTAAGCTCCATCTACATTGTGTAATTATCACCTTTAGCCCCATATCAATTGTCACTTTCCTTTTGTATAATCAACCGAGTCCCACCCTGGGACACTCCAGACTTTAAACATTTTGTCGATGGCTTTTTTAAAATACCACGGGTAAATTCTTATTCTTTTGTTTTCCACATTGTGTTAAAGGATGGGTGTGGAGAAAGGTTTTCTGCCCCCATTGTAAAGCCAAACAGGCTTTCCCACTAGCCAATCAAACTAGGGAATGTGTCTGGAGCCAAGAGCAGGTAAGGTGAAGGGCTAGAGGCCAGGAACATGGAGAATTCCTAGTCTGGTAAAAATAAATAGGGGGTGGAATAGCAAACAAAGAAAGACGGAAACAACATAGTATAGAACAAGACATTATTTGGATAACGAATCACCTTGGAGAAACATATAACTTTTTTTTTTTTTTATATATATATATATATATATATATATATAAAGGAAAACTACTATTTTTTTTTTTTTTAACAGTACTTTCCCCATTTCCTTCTCCCCAATAAATACTGCTATTTGATTGGATACTTGCTAGGCTTTCCTTTTGCGGTGCTAGATTTCCACGTAGACACAGTTCCGGATAGTTTGCATGGATTGAAGGCAGTACCTGGGTAGGCTGACATGTGATATCATTTCTCACTATTCAGTCTATTTGGTGACTGGGTTTTGCTTCATAAAATTACTGTTCTCTTCTGCAGTGTTTCCTTTTTGCTGTAAAAATACTGTTACGCGTGTTTTTTATACGTGTAGAGCTGACCATGGAACTATATCTCAATGAAAACCTTGCTGTGTACAAATAGCACTGTTTACAAAATAAGATTAGTGGTGATACAGAATGTCATGTGAGCACCATGATTGGATGAGTCACTTCCTGGATTGATGAGAGCTCAACGCAGAAGCTGCACAACCTGCGTATTTACAGAAAATGCAGTTCTAAACCAATTCCTAAAAGTGGCACATTGTGCTTGGAATCTGATAGAATCAGTAAGAATAATCTATGGTTCTCTAAACTGAAGATGCAAATTGGGTCACCGTTGAGTTGTGTGTGATATATATGTTACTCTATCGTGTTCAGGCATTGGTTTGCTTAATTGGTTCTCACTGCTAGTAAGGATGCTGGGACGCCTTGATATAAGGGCTTAGGTAGAGGGAACTCAACGTCCATTCTATAAAAAGAAAGCAACTCAAGTTATTTTAAGAGGGTTAAAATAAGACTGTGACTCTACAGAGTAAGTCTGCATAAGTCAGACTATATTTTGCCCTGCATTTTCTAGGTATTGCTTAGAAAGGGAGCTGACAATACTGGAATCCAAACTGCCTATTCAATAACCTTTTTGCAGTCAACTGCTATCTGTATAGCAAAAAGCCAATAATATGATGAATTAGCCAGCACATACACATAGGTCAAACAGTATTTATGTACATAAACCTTTAAAGCTCAGTTACATGTATATAACAAAAATATTTGAAGGTACAAAGCATATTAGATATTATAGACTACTTATAGCAGAACACAATGCCATTTGTATAATATGGGCTCATGATAAAGAAGTTAATATCTGGGATTTGTAGTATCTGTTCAAACTTTAGAATATCAGGTTAGATTCCTAGCCGGGCAGATTCAGACTTTCCCAATTCTAAGATTGATAAAGTGAATATCATTTACTTTGGTTCTCCAGGAATTATTGAAATTTAAATCCTTCTTGGTTAAAAAAAAAAAAGTTTCCACTTCCATATTTATTAGTTAATTGTTATGATAGTGTCTATATGCATATTGACCATAACTATGGCATGAAGCTACAATGTAAAGACAGAGCAACTACAATTGGTTAAGCAAAAATTTAATACCGGTATTTATCATATGTTAAAGACTTATTTTTGTCCCGGCTGCTATGCATGCAGTTATTTTGGAACAAATCATAGAAAAGTAAAAAAAATCTTTCTTTTTTTTTTATCCCTTTTTGTAATTTTTAAACATCATTAGTAGTGTCAGACAGGGACATCTAAATGTCCTTACTTACAAGTCACCCTGCATTCTGTGACGTTGGAACTTTGTTAATGGTCGTTGTGTGGTCCATCGTATTCTCTAGTAATCTAACAAAGGATAGTCGTAGGGATGGCTCTGGTTACTGTGGAAGAGGTGTTGGAATGTTCCTGCAAAAGGAAGGGGCAGACGCAGGCTGTCCAAGCGAATGTTAAATGATGACAATGACGTAAAGAAAAGGGTTAGAATAACAGTGAGGGGGTGGTAAACAAGTGCAAGATGATTCACAATGGGGCTGTTGTGATGCTGATGATAATTGAATATTATTGTAAAAGATTCTTCGAGGTGAAGTAATATTGGAAAATGAGGTCCTAACAGCAACCCATGTTACATAAGTTTAATGACCATCGCTCATTGTAAAATTACATTGGTGGCATATTCTTTAGTAATATAATATATAACAAAATAACTTTTGGAACACATTTATTTGACACTTTCCAGTATTTAAATGGGTCTCCACTACACAAACTTGGTGAATATAATATGCCTGCCTGTTTCAACTATTGGGGAGCCACAGGAATTGGATGGGGACCTAATTTTGAGTCTCTGGGAAGGGAAATAGCAGAGATTAAAAAAAAACCAAAAAAGTGATAAAACACTCAGGTTCTACAGTATGCTGTAAAGTATTACACTGCACTATATCACGGTTTATAGTTAGTTAACCAGCTGTGATTTTTAAACCAGACCATCAACAGAGGCAGACATTTATCAAATGCAACCATGAAAGTCTGGTGTATATGTTCTAAGTCAGCTGTCAATTAAGGCCACTGTGGTGTTAGCATTGAGTGGGTTCAACTTCTGCCAGTGGACATCACTGCTGTTGGAGAGTGGTAGAAAATGTTATCATCCTTGCAGTGCTCATGGTACTGGATAATCAGGTACCCAAGATGATTAACAACCAGGCTGACTTTATTGGCCTTACCAGTTGTTCCACTCACCACCCCTCGCCATTTGGAATTCTCTGTTTATTGATATACTAAGAGATCCTAATGAGTTCCGATAACGGAGTTCCCACAGACAGCAAGCGGTGGTAACGCTGAACCCTACAGCTCCCCATTGACAAAGAGCTTTTCAAGATTTTGTGCTGTCCAAAGATACTGCCTATATAAAGTACAGGAGCGTTTATATCAAATACATTTTGTATTAAATTCCTGAATGGATATTTTTTTTAGATTTTCATAATTTGAACACTCACATCAGGGTTATGCTGGACTCCAGTGAGTATATCCAAAATTATGGTACTCAAAAACACCAGGAGCCTGGATTCAATTACTTGTTTTTTTTAAAGCTGGTCCATCATTTTTTGGATTTTTTTTATTAAGATGCACATGTCCCTTCCTGAAAAAAGCCCACAAGTTGGCTTTTTTCTGCTTCCTATTTTTTTACAAATATAAACCAAACTATTTCAAGCAGAATACAATGATGCTCTTCTTCTTATAGTATCATTGTTTAAAGGATTATTGGAAAAGGGAAACAAAGCCCAGGGAAAACCCAAGTATAAAATATAACTTCCCATAAAGTGCTCGCTATTTGTATTAGCCAAAAAAAGTATATATAAATGCACAATATATACTTTATTTGGGTATTACATAATACATATATATTTATTTAACCCCTTAAGGACACAACGGAAATATTCCGTCATGATTCCATTTTTTTTCCAGAAATTGTGTCCTTAAGCGGTTAATTTTATATTTTTTACGTCTGTCTATTCAGGGACAGTCTAGTTAAAGGGTTAAGCTGTAGTTGTTCAGGTGACTATAGTGTCCCTTTAAGTCTTTTGAAGACATCTTACCCTCTTATAATGTTAATTCTGTGGGTAATTGTGTCTCTCTATGCCCCCTGAATATTGGATTATCCGTAGGTTCCTTTGTTATGCAGTCAGTTTATGCTTTCATACAAACATCCTCCACTCTGTCTCCCCTTTCCTTGCTTTTTCTTCTCTCTCCCATTTGTGTTTTACCACACCATGTTGTCTCTCCTCATCCATTGCAGGCTCTCCCCATCCATTGCTAGATCTCCCCATATCAATCCTCCTCTCCCCATCCATTGCTGGCTTTCTTTGTGTCATTCTTCCTCTCCCCATATCATCCTTGCTCTCCCCATATCATTCTTCCTCTCCCCATCCATTGCTGGCTTTCTTTGTGTCATTCTTCCTCTCCCTATATCATTCTTGCTCTCCCCATATCATTCATCCTCTCCCCATCCATTTCCGGCTCTTCGCCGTGTCATTCTTCCTCTCCACATCCATTTCCGGCTCTTCCCGTGTCATTCTTCCTCTCCCCATCCATTGCCGGCTCTCTGCGTGTCATTCTTGCTATCCCCATCCATTGCCGGCTCTCCCCATACCATTCTTGCTCTCCCCATGAGCAGGGCACTGTTATAAACCACTGTATATGGTACTACCAGGCCTCTTACTGTTCAGCTGAAATGATGGGATGTGATGGAATTGTGAGGAGAGTAAATGTCACCAGCTGGACGAGTGAAGGACATAAAAATCATCCTGGGAGAGGACCTCCTGTCTGTATAATTATACATCATGCAGAGTAGTATTTCCATTTTATTGCATAGCCTGACTTATTCTAGCTGTTATTATTACATGCTAGTGTCTCCTACAGTCTGCTGTTTGAGCGCAATGTGTGGAGGTTTCTAGGTTAAACATTCCCTGACATAATGGCACGACATAGAAAAAGATAGAAGACTGACAAGTCGGAATATCTTAACATGTCTATTGGTTACTATGTTGCAGCCGTGGGTAACATCAACACATGATAATTCTATTGTGGTCATCTATTAGTCTTAGAGCTTGCATACAAGACACATAACATGACTGCTACATTCCTTGCAAAGTTTTGGGGTTTCAAATTCATTATGAATCATACTCCAGGGCAAGTATGTTTGACCCCAGTAAGATTCACCAGAGTTTGTAATTCCGCCATAGAATTGAGTGCAGAACATGCTGTCGGTCATTAACAAGTTAGTTATCTCCGGGAATGATGGAGACTGAGATAAAGAGATACACTTAAAACAGATACACTATTAATGATTGAGAAATAGGTAAAAATGATCTTTTTTTATAAGAAGATGTAATTTTAACAAAATAGCAATTTAAATGAACTAAAATGTAATTATTTGAGGCATAATATTCAATGAGTCAGTTTCACTGGCTGCCATTTTGTTCAGGTCAGGCTGCCATTTTGTTCAGGTCAGGCTGCCATTTTGTTCAGGCTTCATGACTGGCTGCTTGATATTATATACCTTGCAAGTATAACTCAAACAGTATACAAACAAAATAACAAATTAAAAAGCAATAGTACTTAACTTATAAAGATGCGTAACAGCCTCCCTAGGTCGCTACCCAAACGAGCGACCTGTATCATGCATAATGTAAACCAAAAAAAGAAGATTTGGGTTATAAAAGTGCCGATATCAAGAGAGTGCCATTCTATACTTGAGGAGCGCCAGTGGACGGCACATTGGGAAACCCCTCTGAGGTTGTGGTGGTGGTGATGGTTGCTCTTTACAGTTGACTCTCCTATGTTTATACTGCATTTTTCATTAATACAGTGGTGTGCATTGGTCTAGCAAGTCATTTACTATTTCCAAACCCCTCACTCATTTTCGCTTTTTAAAAATGTACCACAAAGTTGATTATGTCTGTAAATTACCCAATATGCCCGCTCTAATAAGTGCATCTGGCAGTTACATCACACTCATTGCAGGCGGTATATAACATCATGTAAACCAAAAAAGAAGATTCGGGATATTGCTATGTAAATCTACAGAAAAAATATAAAACAGAACATAGTGTGATATTGTTAAAGATACAATATTATATGCGCAACAATCTTTTGCACTCACAAGATGTAGATGATAAAAGCGCTCTTAGGGTGCCTCCCCTGGAATAATGGGGGGCTAGCTGATAATGCTTGTCACCTCTGGATCCTTGTTCCACCAAAAAGACATCCACAGGTCAGGGTTCAGCAATAAAAAATTAGTTCATTTAAATAAAAGGTGTAGTCACCATATTCAGCATAGGATATAGATAACATAAAATTGCCCTACGCGTTTCGTTCTATAAGAACTTCCTCAGGGACCACAATTAAAAACAATTATCATGTATCAATATACAATACATAAATAAACATATCCTATACAAACCCCCCCTCCCTGTGTCCTTAAATAGGGCTAATCCCTAGAGTCCATTGGTGGATTCAGGGGGAGTGTAAATCCTTCCTGTTCCTGGTTGGAGGGACAATCTCACTGAGGCAGCTGTTATTTATTCAATAATTTTATAATTCGCGCTTTTTTCGGCAAATACCGCGGGTAATCCTATTTCGCCGAAACCGGAAGTGACGTCACGGTTACTTCAGCATTCCACATGGGTTCCACACACGACGTCCCCATAGCAACCAAACGTGATCGAGTTGTTCAAAGATCACCTGGAACTGAGGAAGAATAAACCCCCATTCTGCTAAAGAAAAGATTATTAAACATGTGCATTGCAATTGATCATTATTCACATCTGATGTATGTAGAGTATCATCCTCCTATTGTGATATCATTAAGTAATAATAATAATATAATAATAATATAAATAATAATAACATTGATCCTTATATATTTAACCAATAATAATAATACCTCAAAATGTTATGAGTCAAAAGACTTAATATTATAAAGTGCTTAAGTGTCTCATATAAATCAAAAAAGTGATTATTATTTTTTTTATTATTATTATTTTTATTTTTTTATTTTTTTCCTGCCCTACCAATATACAACTTTATATAATTGGTGAAAAATGGACATCACAGTTAATCGATCACTGTCATCAATTGATCTTCAGTATGTCACATCTCATTAGTGTTCCTTATAAAAAACTTTCAAAACTTATTTAATATCTTAGTGCAATTCATTTAGATACAAAAAAGATTGTGAATTATAACTTAAACACAAAGTCTTTTCTTCAAGAAGTTGAGAATATTGAATGGGATCCGGAGTACAGTTGGGCCACCCTTGATGTGACCTTTCTGTACTCAGTGATTAGCCATAATTTGGGTCTGGAGGCAGTTGACTATTTTATGGAGCAGGATTTGGAGTTACCAACGGATATAAGAGAGTTTATTTTTTCTTCCGTTCAATTTATTTTATATCACAATTATTTCTTCTTTAATGGTGATTTTTTTCTACAAATCACGGGGACTGCCATGGGGACCAAGTTCGCCCCCAGCTATGCCAACACATACATGAGCAGATGGGAGGAGTTGTTTGTATGGTCTGGACATGGCTGGAGGGCGAACTTGGTCCTATGGCGGCGTTATATCGATGACGTTATTATTATTTGGAAAGGGTCTTCTGTCTTATTTGATGATTATGTCAATTTCTTGAATGATAACGAATATAATCTGGTTTTCACCCCCATTTGGAATAAAAATGAGATCAATTTTCTTGATCTTTGTTTGTTGCATGATTCGAGACAGATAAGGAGTAAATGTTTTTTTAAACCTACTGATGGGAATGGGTTCGTTCATCGTAAGAGTGGGCATTGTGAACCTTGGCTTAAGGCTATAGCTAGAAGCCAGTTCACCCGACTTAGGCGGAATTGCTCGGATAAACAAGATTCTTTTGCCCAATCATCACATATAAAGAGGAAGCTTATAGATAGGGGATACAATGGAAAGAGATTAGAGAAAGAGATTTACCGTATTGGTGATATAGAAAGAAAGACATTTTTGGAAAATAGACCATCTATTCCGGAAACTAGGGATAATTTCCGCTCAGCATTTATCACCCATTACAACACTGATTATAATAGAATTAAGAGGAGTCTTCAAAGTTCTTGGCCTATTTTGTTACAAGACCCCGTTCTGGGGGCACATTTAACGGATAATCCCGTAGTGATTTATAAAAGGAATAAAAATTTGAAGGATATGTTGGCACCTAGTTATGCCATCAAGCCACCATCTGTTTCTACTTTTGTTCGATCAGGCTCATTTCGAGGCTGTGGTACTTGTAAAGTCTGTACCACGGTGTCTATTAAAAATACACATACTTTTTTTAGCTCTACTACGGGGGAGAGTTTCACACTTAGGGATAGTATTAATTGCCACACGGACTTTGTAGTATATTTGCTGCAGTACCCGTGTGGCATGCAATACGTGGGATGAACTAAGAGGATTCTGAAGGTTCGCCTATTGGAACATCTCAACAATATCAGAAAGAGACTGACGACACATTCAGTCCCAGCTCATTGTATATCTTGTCCCTTTTTTTCATTTCAGGATTTTAAATGCTGGGGAATAGAACGAGTTCCCCCTTTTTGGCGTGGGGGCAATAGAGTACAAAGACTAGCCCAAAGGGAGACTTTCTGGATATATAAGTTACAGACCCTTACACCAAAGGGTCTAAATATAGACATCGACTTAATGTGTTTTTTGGATTGACTTGGCCTTAATAAAGTCTTAAAATGGAATACAATAGATATGTGTGTTTGTCCCCAATTTGGGGCTTTTTCTACAGTTGTAAGTCAATCCCTATTTAGATAGAGGATTCATATATATGATTATTTTGAGTAATTATGTTTATATAATTTTTCACTTTAAGTTAGGATTTATGGTCTTGTATGACCTAAATCATAAAGATACAATGGAGACACAGCAATTGACTGTTCGAATATTGAAAATAAACCTACTCGGGTGATATATAGAATCAATATCATCCCAAATGTGGAGTTGCACATTAATTTTTTAAGTTATAATTCACAATCTTTTTTGTATCTAAATGAATTGCACTAAGATATTAAATAAGTTTTGAAAGTTTTTTTATAAGGAACACTAATGAGATGTGACATACTGAAGATCAATTGATGACAGTGATCGATTAACTGTGATGTCCATTTTTCACCAATTATATAAAGTTGTATATTGGTAGGGCAGGAAAAAAATAAAAAAATAAAAATAATAATAATAAAAAAAATAATAATCACTTTTTTGATTTATATGAGACACTTAAGCACTTTATAATATTAAGTCTTTTGACTCATAACATTTTGAGGTATTATTATTATTGGTTAAATATATAAGGATCAATGTTATTATTATTTATATTATTATTATATTATTATTATTATTACTTAATGATATCACAATAGGAGGATCATACTCTACATACATCAGATGTGAATAATGATCAATTGCAATGCACATGTTTAATAATCTTTCCTTTAGCAGAATGGGGGTTTATTCTTCCTCAGTTCCAGGTGATCTTTGAACAACTCGATCACGTTTGGTTGCTATGGGGACGTCGTGTGTGGAACGCATGTGGAACGCGGAAGTAACCGTGACGTCACTTCTGGTTTCGGCGAAATAGTATTACCCGCGGTATTTGCCGAAAAAAGCGCGAATTAAAAAATTATTGAATGGATAACAGCTGCCTCAGTGAGATTGTCCCTCCAACCAGGAACAGGAAGGACTTACACTCCCACTGAATCCACCAATGGACTCTAGGGATTAGCCCTATTTAAGGACACAGGGAGGGGGGGTTTGTATAGGATATGTTTATTTATGTATTGTATATACATGCTAATTGTTTTTAATTGTGGTCCCTGAGGAAGTTCTTAGGACAATTTTATGTTATCTATATCCTATGCTGAATATGGTGACTACACCTTTTATTTAAATGAACTAATTTTTTATTGCTGAACCCTGACCTGTGGATGTCTTTTTGGTGGAACAAGGATCCAGAGGTGACAAGCATTATCAGCTAGCCCCCCATTATTCCAGGGGAGGCACCCTAAGAGCGCTTTTATCATCTACATCTTGTGAGTGCAAAAGATTGTTGCGCATATAATATTGTATCTTTAACAATATCACACTATGTTCTGTTTTATATTTTTTCTGTAGATTTACATAGCCATATCCCGAATCTTCTTTTTTGGTTTACATGATGTTATATACCGCCTGCAATGAGTGTGATGTAACTGCCAGATGCACTTATTAGAGGGGGCATATTGGGTAATTTACAGACAAAATCAACTTTGTGGTACATTTTTAAAAAGCGAAAATGAGTGAGGGGTTTGGAAATAGTAAATGACTTGCTAGACCAATGCACACCACTGTATTAATGAAAAATGTTCTTCAGGAAGTATGCAGTATAAACATAGGAGAGTCAACTGTAAAGAGCAACCATCACCACCACCACAACTTTAGAGGGGTTTCCCAATGTGCCGTCCACTGGCGCTCCTCAAGTATAGAATGGCACTCTCTTGATATCGGCACTTTTATAAAGTGACAAAGAGGGGGCACTCTGCTAATCCCTAACATATCTCAACTTATTTCTTTAAAATTCACCCACTGCTCCTAAGGCTAATGCTTCCTTGTTAGGCCAAGCAGCAAGGAGGGGAGGGACTGCTGGGTACTCTTGTTGAGCAGTAAACCACTAAATATTATTTAATACTGAATGGAAGGATGGAGCCGGGGGACTCCAGACACTATAACCACTTTAATGAGGTGAAGAAGTTACACTGTCTACAATTGTCCCTTTAAAATAAAATGTTTAGTTAGAAAAAATATGCCATAGCATTAATGCATCATATTGATAGTATTTATATTAAAAAAGCATTAATGCATCAGATTAATAGTATTCATTATAAATATTTTCTATAAAATTATATAAAGAGTGGGGTGAAAAGATAGTTTGACTTGGTTGCAAAAAGCGTGTTTTGTTTTTTTCTTTTTACTTGCACACCCCTGGAATGATATATATCTGTAGAACTATTTGCACATAGCAGAGACATATCCACAGGAACAGACAAGCAGAGACAGGAGGATTTTGGTACAGTGAGAAAATGAAGGAATGTGTCCAGGACCAGGCCAGATACAATCAAATGATAAGCCCACATTCTGGATAATAATGATGATATATGACTTAGAAAGTTTGTTTCCCCCACCCCCTTTATTCTTGTCCGTAATTGAAATCTGAATTTCAAAAATGTTGTTATTATAACCGAGTTGGAAAATTTTCCCAAATTAGCACTTTTTGCCTAAATATTTCAAAACCGCTTTCAATTTGAAAAATAAAATAAAATGTACTGCTTAGTGAATAAATCTCATTGTTTCAAAATATGCAGCTGTTTTATAAGAAAGTATCTCTACCAGTTGTGGCTTTTAAGTGTAATTGGTTGTTATGATGGTCAGTTTATTACTTGGTTACTGGTGGTGTTTTGCAGATATAGTGCAGTAAGATCAATTCTTTGTATTTTTGGGAAAATGCAAAATTGATAGAAGATTGTGTCTCTGCTGTATATACCACGTTACAGAAAGCTACACATGGGTCATTACGTTCCATCTGGTAATGAGTCAATTAAAGCCACAATGATGTTGGTTCCAGTCTTGGAAGCATGTCACGTATCCTGAAATAGAATCCTAAATTGTATTTTTTAATATTAGAATTGTTGTAATTAGTCTTTCTCTCAGGAAGATCCTTCTTCTGACCACCAGGTTATTGCAGAAGAGCTCTGAAAGCAGCCGCACCCCATAATTTATAAAACTGCAAACTCACTATAAACTGCGTTATAGATCATTCTTTTTATGACAAAGTAGCTACAGTTATCTGCAGAGCGAAAAATAGAAAATGTAATCACCAGAATTAAAATATCCAGTGACCAGGCCATTAGCCTATACTCAAAATCTAAATAACACCTCTAAAAATAACGTTATGACCAATGGTATTCTTCTATGCAAAAACTCTATAAACTGTGTATTGAAAAATAAAGTATCTGTGGTCGGTCAGTATAAAACACTTAAGATGGATGTGATATTTAAGACTTTTTTTGTGTGTGTGTGTTTCGTGCTCTATCTGCATTTGACTTATGTTTTTTTTTTTCTACAAACCAATATACTTAAAAAAAAAAAAATTGGTCTGCTGGAGGCTTTTTTACAAACGTTCCTACAGACACCAATGTTGTTTTATGGTCCTGAAAAAAAACCTGTAAGTGCCTGCATTAAAAGCAAGATCCAGTGACTGAGGACAGGTTAGCTTTATTTACTAAACTCCGAATGGCAGCGAAGGGCTGTGATATTGTCAACCAAATTTTGTCTATTCACAAAGGCAAGTGTAGTTATTTCAAGGGAATTTGCGCCACCATTCGGCTGATGTTCAATTACCTGTTAAATGAGAAAAATGTATGTGGTTTATTTTTAGGAAGGGCTGTTCTAACCAAAACCAGAGTATTCCTAAAAACCCTTTAACGTTAAAACAATATCTGCTGATCTCCTGTCTGAGCTCAGGCCCTACACAGCAGTATTGGTTGCCTAATAGGTAATTCGACTCTGTATACACAAAATCTGTTCCATCAAACGAAGTCAGTTTGGTGTTTAGAGTATCCCTTTAAGTGCCTTGTCCTAAGTTCATTCCTCCCAGTGGGAGATATGCCCAGTTTTTTTATCAATACTATATCAGAAATGGTGGGGAATTATACTTCCTAGGAAGGCGTGGTTAATAATAAAGTAAAAGTAAATAGAAAATTACTGATAGCCACATTAAAGGGACAGTATAGTCACCAGAACAACTACAGCTTATTGAATTTGTTCTGGTGAGTAGAATCATTACCTTCAGGCTTTTTGCTGTAAACACTGTCTTTTCAGAGAAAATGCAGTGTTTACATTACAGCCTAGTGATAACTTCACTGGCCACTCCTCAGATGGCTGTTAGAGATCCTTCCTGGGTCATGGCTGCCTAAAATGCATCCAAACATTCAGTATCTCCTCCCTCTGCATGCAGACACTGAACTTTCCTCATAGAGATTCTATGAGGAGATGCTGATTGGCCAGGGCTGTGTTTGAATCATGCTGGCTCTGCCCCTGATCTTCGTCTTTGTCAGCCTCAGCCAATCCTATTGGGAAGCATTGTGATTGGATCAGGCCACCACGTCTGATGACGTCAGCAGACTGCTTGTTTTTTTTTTTTTTTAGGCAGACAGCATGCAGAGTTACAGCTTCAGGCTTGAATACAGTAAGATTTTGCTATATTTATGGAGGCATGAGAGGCCCAGGGGGGTTAGATGGTGGTTCTAACACTACATGTATTCCTGACCCTTTAGTGATCCTTTAATGACTTGTTAGTAACCTGTTATCATACCAACTCCCAAAATCTTGATAAGATGCCCAATTAGAAGGATGTCATGCTAGGTGAGGTATGTCAGCCAAGAGGAGGCAATGAAAAGCAATAAAATGATTAATCAGATCTTGTAGATATAGAGCAATTAAATTGTTCTAAACATCCGTGAATACAACATTTTAAAAAGAGAGTCCTCTACCTCTGTGACACGGAAAGAAATGCTTGTGTGGAATATATGTCATGCTGATATGACATGGCATATTTTTTGACTAGCTACGTATATATGTGTTAGCATATGAGCATACCTCCCAAGTGTCTAAATCCCTCTGTCCCTATTTTGTTTCTCCTAATGTCCCTTTTTTTTTTTAGGAGCTCCGTGGTGTTAGAGTGTCTGAGTGTATAACGGAGCTCCACAGCAATATACTAACACTAATGTGTAATTAAACTACAAGAAGGGTGTTTAGAAATCAGTCTGTGTAAACAGGATACATTGTACTTGTTCTAATTATATTTCAGCTGTCAAACTTATTAGTAAGACACCTACAATTTCTTAAAACAGCCCCGTCCCTGGCCACCTCCTCCCTTAAAATTAATGTGTCCCTATTTGTCCATTTGACAGTTTTGGAGGTATGTATGAGGATGCATGCGCAGTGAATGAAATCGGCAGCTTTCTGGAATAGGCTTGTAAAATGGCAATGGCGGACCCTATTACGAGCAGAAGAACAGGATTGTCATGCTTGCAAAAATGCACTGTAGTAGTCTGTATCGTAATCCGAATATTCACAAAGACACAACATTCACTGAATGTTAAAATATCTCAAAGGGACCAGCAGGGCAAACATGTATTCTTCACCCTGAGAATAAATACTGCCATGCAGTCATGTAACAGCTGGGTCCACTATTAACATTTTTAGTTTTGCAGCCCACCTACACACCTTTGTTAGCAATTCCTGTCTTTAGTTGTTTTGACATGTCATACTTCTAGTACACATAGTAGACCACGAGTTGTCCATTGGCACAAGATTGAGGGTCATGCAGGCAGTCGAATGCAAAGTGTGGATCAAAATATTGTGTTTTCAGAAATGTTTTTTGGTATTTCAGAACAACATGCAAACTTATCTGTCCAAAATACTCTCACTCCATACGCTTCCTACACATGTAAGTAAAGCCCTTTATAATATAGTTAATATGTGCAGAATATCATTTAAACCAAGGCTACAGGATTCCAAATTAAGGAAGGAGGCAACATCACCCAGTAATGTAGCACAGGTTAACGTGTGTATTTAAAAGTCAGCGCTCACAAGACAAAAATTACTACAGATACCTGTAAAGTGTGGATAAAAAGAATGCTGAAGTATTAATAAATCTCCCAATCGTCACTGATCTAACTGGACAGCTTAATTTGAGATTCTTCTTTTCGCTGTATCCTGGTTTTTGTTGTTTTTTTTTTTTTTAGAATATGATCAGATTTTATTTTTTTCAATGTAATTACAAATACCAGTTCCAGTAGTAGGTAGAAGCACTCCGTCTTGTTTTTCGTGTTCATCTTTCTGGGTCTCCTAACCCGTGCACTGGAAGTGTGTAATTACTTCTTATCTCTATACATTGCTGAATACACAGACACTCAGTCATTCACAAAACCGAGATTTGCTGGGAAGTCCAAGGGAATTTCAAATCTCAGGCCGAAATAATCAAACTGAAAAAAATTTAACTTTTTTTTCTGTATTAGCTATTTGGGCCTACATTTTGATGTGCATTTTGAATTCCCAGCAGTTGTCACTTTAGTGACCAACCCTGTCTCTCTGTTTTAGTTGAACGCACATACCTCCTTTTTACTTGTTCAGATCTGCTGTTTTTTTGCAAAGGCTCACTGAACATGTCACTTGCGCACTAACGTCCCAGCTTCCATTGCACAAACAGCAAGTGGCTCCGCAACACTCACACTTTCACTAACTCACACTTGTTTCTGCCTTTCTTCCAGTGGACAGTTTGCCATAGTAAAACGATGCCAGGAAAAAAAGACTGGAGTGAATTATGCCGCCAAGTTCATCAAGAAACGTCAGAGCCGGGCAAGCCGCCGCGGGGTCACCAGAGAGGAGATTGAACGCGAGGTGAATATTCTGCGGGAGATCAAGCACCCCAACATTGTTACCCTGCACGATGTGTACGAAAACAAGACAGATGTGGTTCTTATTCTAGAGCTGTGAGTATAGACGTGACATATTGACGCATTGTAGAATGTTAGTAACACTGTGACATCGTTTCAGTATTTATGGAATTTTAATACTTTTCCCCTACATGGAATGGTAGTGTTTAAATCAGGCTTCCCCAAACTCTGGGAAGGAAACAGGAAAGTCCAGACATGTCCTCTTCTCGAAGGAAATGAAACAATGCATCCTTCCTGCAATTTCTCTTCCCAGTGAATATATTATTCATACAGCAGACTGATTGATAGCTATGCATGTATATACAAGCACGCTTTATAAATATTCAACACGATGTGTATTTTAAAGACCATCACTAAGGTGTCTATTTACTAAACACCGAATTATATACCATGACTACAGAAAAGTTCAAGAATATTCCACATTATATATTTTACGCTCAGTTTGTAAATTCAGGATTCACTCACCACCATCCATTTTAGTGAATAAACCCTTTTATGTTTGAGTGAGAAGAGATTTGCGTTACTTTAGGTTTATTTACTGTATAATTGTCAAGGATGCGGAATTCTCTGCCTGAAGAGGTGATTTTATCAGAGTCCATACGGATGTTTAAACAGCAATTGGATAAATACTTGCAAAAACATAACATACAGGGATATAATTTCTAATTAGTGGGGTAATAGCTTCTTTTTTTCCTAGTTTGTTGCAAAATTGGAAGCGCTTCAAACTGTTTTTTTTTTTTTGCCTTCTTTTGGATCAACAGCAAAAACAGATGTGAGGAAGGCTGAACTTGATGGATGCAGGTCTCTTTTCAGCTACGTAACTATGTAACTATGTAATTTAAAGCGCCCATTATTTGATACTGGTAACATAAAAGGGCAGGACACCACATTTGGTTTACTCCACTGCATAAGCATTTAAAGTTTTGACCTCCTGTTCTTTATAGATGCCGGTGAATCATTAGCCCCACGTATAACATAATGCAGTGTTGAAGAGGCCCAAATGAGTATGCATTTGTTCATATACGTATTCTTTTAACGTGGACAGGTTCGGTTTAATAGATAACAGATCTAAAGGCACTAAATATATGACTTATCACAGTAATAAATTATATATTTATTTGATTGGGCCCTTTGGTCCAGTGCCACCATATTGAAGGATTTGTGAGCATTACAGTGATGTCCCTGTATGATGAGATTGTCCCTGCTTGGGGATGCTTCCATAAGCACGACATTCCTCCTTACTGATGCTGACATCAGTAGCGTACCTACCTTGGGAGGCTGAAGAGGCAAAAACTTGGGGAGGCGCCACATGGCTGCTGCACCAGTAAAATACTAAAGCATTTGCGTGGCTTGATGTGACTTCCTGTCCGTGACTCAACGGCAAGGGCTGAACTTAGTATGAGGATGTAACATCACGTCCTCACGTTAAAGGACCATTCTAGGCACCCAGACCACTTCAGCTCAATGAAGTGGTCTGGGTGCCAGGTCCAGCTAGGGTTAACCCATTTTTTCATAAACATAGCAGTTTCAGAGAAACTGCTATGTTTATGAATGGGTTAAGCCTTCCCCTATTTCCTCTAGTGGCTGTCTCATTGACAGCCACTAGAGGCGCTTGCGTGCTTCTCACTGTGATTTTCACAGTGAGAGCACGCCAGCGTCCATAGGAAAGCATTATGAATGCTTTCCTATGTGACCGGCTGAATGCGCGCGCAGCTCTTGCCGCGCGTGCGCATTCAGCCGACGGGGAGGAGAGAGGAGGATCGGAGGAGGAGAGCTCCCCGCCCAGCGCTGGAAAAAGGTAAGTTTTAACCCCTTTCCCCTTTCCAGAGCCGGGCGGGAGGGGGACCCTGAGGGTGGGGGCACCCTCAGGGCACTATAGTGCCAGGAAAACGAGTATGTTTTCCTGGCACTATAGTGGTCCTTTAAGCTCCACCGTCACCGTCATGTCGCATTAATGGTTTTTGGCGCCGAAAAAGTAGAGAGGACTCAGAGCCTGCAGAAGGGAGCAAATGTCTTTCAATTGCTGTTGTCCTCTTTGCAGAATTGCTGAAAGTTTACTTCCTGATGTAACGATATCTTAGATGTGACATTTTGTGCTGTAATACACAAAATATTTGCTCTAGCTGAGCCTGAAGATGGTAGATAAGACCCGCTGTTGCAGTGTACATATAAATATGGTATTTTCTTTGTTTTAAGTAGTTTTTGCAACATTTGAAAAGCATTTTAATTTTAGTTTACTCAAGCTGTTTGGCAGCCTGAACACTCCTGAAAGGGCACTTGGAACCATTGTTTGAATGTTCATAACTTCCTAAGACATTAATAAATTCGTCACCGGTTGTTTTTTTTTCTATTGCATTTAGAAGTGCTTATTCATAAAAATGTGATAATGATTGTTATCAAGAAAAATACCATAGTATTTACATGTGTTGAATTATCCTGACAACCAGAGGGACAGGGTGATGTTGGCTGAGTTGGTGGTATATTGGGGGGCTCAAAATTTAGTTCTGTCCTTGGCGACCGTAACTCTGGTTACGCCAATGGCTGACATGCTGGCTTCACTGCGAGCACGTTAGTGTCCTTGTGTCCTACGCTCTCTCAGAAACAAGAGGAAGGCCTGCTGCAGAATAGCCATGTGACAAGGAGCCAGAGAACTGCCAGGGGGAGGAATTTTTTGCTCCACCTGTCACTCACCCAGACAATAAATGTTGATTTTTATATTTGAGTCATGGGAAGTGGCAGTTCCCCTTTAAAGAACATTTAGTCACCTGTAGCCCTCAGCGCCGACATGACAGAGAAAGCACATTGTCAGCACTGAGAGAGTAATAGGAAATACAAGGTAAAGAATAGTCCGTTACTTGGCAATGAAGGTGGCGAGAAAGATGTATTTTTGGGGGGATATGAAATAGATGCATTGCAGAGGCAAGTCTTAAGAAAAGCATGAAGGTGATTATTAGAAGAAGACACTCTTGAAAGCAAAGGGTCAGTGTTGTGATGGTAAATGTCGATTGAATATAAACATAGAAATGTTTTTGAGGAATGCCTCTGACATTTGATACCATGCCATGCCTCATGAACTCCTAACAATGTAAGATTAGACCTCCTCGAACGATAGCAAGTTAATCGTGATGATGTTGTTATGGTGATGGGACTGGAGTTTAAGTGAACATGCACTTTTGATGCTCTTACAGTAGTCAGAACCACCATAAAAATTATCTTTGACTTATTGTCTAATTGTTTCATTACTTTCTGACAATGACCTTGTCCCTTCTACTCTCAGTGCTGGAACATCTTGGCTTTGGCCCCAGGTGATAATCATAAGTTCAGTCATGATCTTTACTCGTTACCAAGCGTGAGAATTAAAGCAAGTAGCCAACACTCCAAACCTTTGTCAGTCAGCAATAGAATGAGAGAAGGGTTCCCCTCTTCCCAGTTTCCTTTGAACTGGTTCTAGAACCTTGCCTCTGGAAGATGCACAACATTCATGGGATACTTGAAGAAGTGGAGACGTGTACATTTTCAGCCATTGCAGATGTTTTATTGTCACCTCTGTGCTGTAGTATTTATGTTGCTTATGAGTCTTGGGTGCCGTCCCCTGCTAATATGTACACCATTTAGAGTTTGGCACTTACCATGCTGTGTCAGGTGCCCATGGTCCTTCTGGTCTGATTCACCTGAAAAGGCAGAAATTTAAACTTCCACATCATACCAAAGAAGTATATACCAAAAACTATTAATTGTCTGAGTGTCAGCTGTTAAAGAGCATAGCGTGTACTTATAAGGCAATGCTTGCTCTAATTTTATAGCAAATATATTTTGTATATTTTTTAAGAGGGTCATGGGAAATGATTAAATCCTCTTCTTCCTTTTCTGCCTTACAGTTTCCTCTCACCGTATTCAGGAAGTAAAGTACATTACGTGCCCCGTTCTGCTGCAGATGTAGTTTCAGTTATGTTAACTTACATTGTTTTCTCGATGTTTGAAAATATGTTTAGCAGCCTACAGAATTTAACATGAGAGCAGCGTTCTAAGGACACCGCTTCAGAAGTAAAAGACCAGCGTGATGTAAAATTTCCGTCATGTGACCTTAAGGGGGTTAAGGAATTATTTTCTTTTATGCCTCCAAATTATTTTATAAGGTAACGTGCAAGTATTTACTATGCAAACACGAAGGACAGTCACCTAAAACAGCAAGACTTCCTCCAGTTAAAATATAGAAAGTAATTTTCTAAAGCAAACTGCCAAATTTAGGAAAATAATTGCTGATTTGGCAAAATGTATTTATTTATATTTATTTATTTATAAAATATTTTACCAGGAAAGATACATTGAGATTTCTCTCATTTTCAAGTATGTGCTGGGTAAAAATGATCAAACTCCGCGACAGCCATAGCTTGGCTCTATCAGCCTAAATCAGGCATAGGCATACTTCGGCACTGCAGATGTTTTGGACTACACCTCCCACGATGCTTTGCCAGCATTATGGGTGTAAGAGCATTATGGGGGATGTAGTCCACAACATCTTGAGTGCCGATGGTTGCCTACCTCTGGCCTAAATTTTGCAATTCAGTTTAAAAACTCGCTACAATTTGGTGGTCAGTGAATAATCCTTAGTGTCTGAACTATAACAAGAAATGGTGAAAAACAATGGCTACTGTCTGAAATGTGTCAGTATATGAAGATATTATAGGTTGCGTGTGTGGTTAACCAGAAGGATATTGCAGACTCTTCACTTCCCCTAAACATAGACATTCTCTTTTTTAACAGGGCAGGACATGGGGGCTTTAATTAGCCTTCAATGTTAGTAATATAAAAAACAGAAAATCAACACTTTTCTATCATATTTATAGTAGTTTTTATTGCACTATATAAAGCATTTCTTAACAAACTTGTGTTTTAATCACTGTGCACTTTATCTATCAGGTCAAAATAATTCCAGTGAATTCACATCCGTGATACCGAATCGGTCGATTATCTTAACTGGGAATTGTGTACAATTGGCAAGATAATTGCAGATTTGAAGCCAAAAAAGCAGATTTGAAGAACTCTTCACATTTTTGGCTTGCCTTTTTTAGGTTTCCACTATTCGTGATTACCCACCTACGTTTATATTTGTCAGAATTCTTTTTTTTTTTTCCCTAACTTTTTGAGATTATATCAGTTTTGAAAATTTTAGATATTACTCCTACCCATTTATAAATTTGTTTAGGCTATTGAGATTTACTGGGTAATCGTTTACATCGACAGCCAAGATGTAGCTAATATGACTGTGAATTTTGCTCTGCTATAGTTAGTTTAGTGGTTATTTACTTGGCTAGATGAACAGGTTGTAGCCAGACAAGTGTCGCATTCTGTTGTTTACCCACCTCCGTCCGGGAGTTCTTTGATGTACAACCTCCCGACTCACTCACAATATAAATATGGGACTGGTTGCATTGTTATAGAAGCTGGTTATTTTGCTAACAAAAGGATGTAATAGAGCCCTGCTTGCAGGCTGGTGTCTTTCCCTGAAACCATGAGCTTCCAGCTTTCATGAACACATCAGCAGCTGTATTTGTGTGTACATAAAGGGTTACCCCATTTGGACACTGCAAAATGAGCTAGCAATTAGGACTTTTCGAGTTGAACCGTAACGTTATCTAAAGTGGTAAGTCTTGAAAACTTAGCTCAGTATATACTAATCTGGATCTGATCTGTACCCTGCTTAAGAGCTGGAGGGCCTAAAAGTGCTTCCCTGCATACAGGAGGAAGGGGCGTCCCTCTGCTTTAAGTCTATTGGAAATGATATGAGCCACATGGTGAAAAGGATGGATTTCCTGTGCCCTATGCCGTTATAGTTTGGTCAGTAACCCCACTGTGCCCCATTGCTCATCAAGTATGTTTTTCTGTGCCGCTTCCTGCAGGCAAAACCTATTTATGTTTTGGTTCTTTATGCTTTAAAATACATATGGGAATGGTTTTATATATGATTGAAAATAGCTCAAACACATGCTCCTGTAGGCACAAGAGTCCGGAAGCATAAATAATATTTCTTAATTACGCCCCCAGCATACTTTTCAACTCAAGGACCATAAAGCTCTTGATCCAGAGCCGCCTAACATTTTATTGAGTGCATTTAATAACTGTATCCCTTCTACTTCTGAAATAGTTCTTTAAAAACATTCGTGCGGGGAACATATACCACAGATTAATGAACTTTACTTTTAAGGTTTAGTTTCCAGAAACAGCAAAGTGAATTATCGGCAATATCCTATAGAATTTCTGGAAGTGAAAAAGAAACTCATTTTATTCTCGGGGTCTATGAATCAAATTGTGATTTTCTCCATTAGCCATTTACTGGTCCAATCCGCACAGAATGTCTCATGAGAACATTGACACAATGACTCATCCCATAATTAGATATCTGACTCTTTCTTTCTTTCTTTCTTTCTTTCTTTCTTTCTTTCTTTCTTTCTTTCTTTCTATCAAATCATCATTTTAACATAGGTGCTGTGTGACCAGGTGACAATGACAAGTTTAATGGATACAACGGGAGTAATATGACCCACTGACCGTGATGTCACAAATGCCTTAAAATACATTGTGGAGGGTGCAATATTACTAAAGGGTTATTCACTCAATTGTAAATGGCGTAGAATGAACAAAATCATGTAACATTTTTGCCCAAAGTATCCAGATTGGGAAGATAAATCTACATTTCATCTATAAGGCTAGCATGACTATTTTACCTAAAATTTTATATCCCTGTGCCATTCTCTCCACAATTTCTGTCTTAGTCGATAACCCATATCTGATGTATAAATATGGAATTTTCGCAGAGAAGTTACCGTATCAGTGACTTTTTACATTGTATCTGTACAGGGTTTCCGGAGGTGAACTCTTTGATTTCTTGGCTCAGAAAGAGTCGTTAAGTGAAGAAGAGGCAACAAGGTTCATCAAGCAGATCCTGGAAGGAGTTAACTACCTGCACACCCGAAAGATCGCCCACTTTGACTTAAAGGTAATAAAATATGGGAATCAGTCCTTACAAAAAAGGATCAAAATATTGTTTGCAAATTTTTTAAAGAGAATTCTAAGCTGTAAATGGTTGCATGTTTACAGTTTACAGGGTTACATCAACTCTTTTTTTCTTTTCTTCGAATAATGCTCTTTTGGGCATTATTCTTTAAGTTCCCCTAAAAACCACAGAAAAAAAAATTTCAAATAGGTTTTACTTATCTTAATCCAGCACCGGGCAAAGGTCTTGGCACTGCTCTGCACACCCCTTGTGATGTCACAGGAGCTGTGCGGAGGTCTAATCAAAGGCTTCTATTTAACTGTCATATATAATTTAACATAAATTATATATAATATTGCCTTTAAGTGTGCATGCGTGCTCAGAGCAGGCGAAGGGAGGAGCAGAGGATGGGATTGGGAGAAACAAGCTCTGGCGGCAAGGGAGAAGCAGAAAGCATTGGACGCCAGTGTGCTGTGTGCGCTGACAGCAGGAGTAAAATATGCACAGAATTGACAATCAGACAGCCCAGAAAAGAGTTCTAGGCTGTTTATGTCATGTGTGCCGGGGGGTGTAACCAGCCCATGGCACACAAGTGCAAATATCCCTGCTTGTTCTGCGTTTAAAGCTGAAACACTGCACATCCAGACTCCTACCACTATAACCACTTCAAAAAGCAGAAGGAGTCATGGTGATTGAAGTTACCCTTTAAATATACTTTTGAGTACAGATTTCTTATTGGATAAGGTGAGTGCACTATGCTATAGCTCCAACCCATCTCTTTTTTAAATACAGTGTATGCACATTATTAGGTAGCTTACAGCTGTATTATCTTAAAGAAAATGTAGAGCTTTCTTTCATAGAAATTAATAGGAGCTGCCTGCAGGTTGTCAGTGTAGCCTCAACTGGTTTTAAAGGTGCAGCGCAGCGCGGGCACATAGTGAATTTTAGGACGTATGTTAACCCTGTAAGTACTGGAAGGTTGTGTGATAAAAATTGAGTTTGACCTAGTTACCTATACTGTATTTTCCCCATAGAAGGGACGATTGTCTATGTAGCAGAATCATACAGTGCTTTGCATATCACCGTATACATTTCACATGTTCTTTCTTTTTTTTTTCTGTCAGCCAGAAAACATTATGCTCTTGGATAAAAGTATTCCCGTGCCTCATATAAAGCTGATTGATTTTGGCTTAGCTCACAAAATAGAAGATGGAGTGGAGTTCAAGAATATTTTTGGGACACCGGAGTTTGTAGGTGGGTACGGACGCTTCTCGCAGAAAATCTGTTTAAAACCCTTCTGTTATGAAATGGTTGAGTTCCCTTCTCATTACAAAAATAACTTCATTACTCAGTGATCAAATAAATAAAGGAACATGTGGAGAACGTTATTAAAGGGATACTATAAGTACCAGGAATACAAAGCTGTATACTTGGCACAATAGCTCCCCTGCCTCCCCCCCCAATGCGGTAAAAAAGATAGCTAAAGACCCTTTATTTACTTACCTTTCACCAGCGCCAATGTCCCTCAGCAGTAGGTCGCGGCTATTCCTCCTCCCTGGTCCCACAACAAGCCAGCGCTAATGCGCATGCGCGGCAAATGCTGCACACATTAGACCTCCCCATAGGTAACCATTGAATCAATGCTTTCCTATGGGGAAAAATCTGACGCTGGATGTCTTAATGCAGAGCGTGACGACGTCCAGCGTCAGGTACTGGACCAAAGGTCCGTTTGGATGTAGGAAGCTCATCCACTGGAGGCAGACTTAGTGCTGCAATGTAAACATGCAGTTTCTCTAGAACTGCAATGTTTAATATTGCAGAACTAAGGGCAATAGGGACATTGCGCCCAGACTACTTCAGTGAGCTGAAGTGATCTGGGTGCCTATAGTGTCCCTTTAATGTAATTAGTCAGCCAGCTCATCCACCTGTCGGTTTGCTTGTTTGTCTGCCTATCTGTTAAAATTTGCTACAGAATTTCTCTATCCACTGCTACACTTACTACATGGCAATAATTGTGTATAGATGGAAAGATGCCTCCTTTATGTAAACCGATCTCCATGTGCTACAAACTTGTCTCAGACCATATCGCATTCTCTGAATCTAAACCAGCGAACCAATGGCACACAGACCTACAACACCCACTTTCCCAGAAACAATGGGAATACGTTTATTATAAGACACTGTTCTGCTGGTCTATGGTACCCAGTAGGCTACATAAGATGTTCCCCCAAACATCCGCCACCTGTTGGCGCTGTAATGTAGAAGAAGGATCCTATCTATGTAGTTGGTGGACATGCATTGCCCTCAAGCTTCTGGAAGGAGATCCATCGCCTTTTTTCTAAAAATGTAGAGCACACTACAACCTTCTCACAAGGACCTATCTCCTCCTTGATTTACCTCACTCCCTGCCACGACACGTAATCAAGCTAATTATGCACATAGCACTCACAGCCCAACGTAACATTGCCAGAGACTGGAAGTCCCCCCTCCCTTAAGAACCTCTTTAAGGAACTCAATAAACAAGGCTCCTATGAGCGTCATTTCCTCTATCTCTTCCAAAAAACAAAACTAATATTGAATGCTTGGTCGACATCGGACACGTGGAGATCAGGGGTTAGAGGCTGAGTTTGTAACCATTGAACTATGTCATCTTTGGGACCGTACAACACCTTGTAACAACCTTGTAAAAATACTTAACTGGTCAAGTCACCTCCAAACTAATGCCTAGTTTTCCTACCCACATCCATACCGATCAACTACATATATGTTGTCGTTGAACAAAATGTACCTGTTCATGTAAAACTACTCTTAAGTGCTCAGACTATGTACCCAATGTGATGTTTTGCACCTGCTCTTCCCCCTCCCCCTTTTTCCTTTCTGTACACCCCCCCCAGCTTTCCTTTGAAAAATCAATAGAAACTTTTCAAATCAAAAGAAATTTCTAAAGAATTTGGGTTAATCACTAAAAGTTGCCAGATTCAAAATAGTCTTCACTCTGTTTTTTTTTTCTAACTCATCTACTTTGGCTTACATTTTGACTCCCGACTGTTCCCTATTTAGCAAAAAATCTCTGAATTTATGAACAAGTTACTGCCCAATGGTGAACTAATGAAATATTCCTCTGCTTTAAAAATAGATATCCGCTATATAGATAGAAAGATAACACACACATTTATCCTGTATCCATCGTTTTAATGCTATACTGTTTCTGTTTTAGCTCCTGAAATCGTGAATTATGAGCCTCTGGGACTGGCAGCAGACATGTGGTGAGTCTCCCTCTAGTTGTCTCTGACTCTTTCCTTCACCAGGAGGGCAAGAGTTAACCCCGCACTGAATAGCACTGGATGTAGAGGTGTTTCTTGTACAATATTAACGTAACTTTCTATTTTAGGAGCATTGGAGTGATCACCTACATATTGTGAGTATCGAGCGTGTCTGTCACTGAATAACCGATATAATTATTACGATTATTATTAATACAGTACCAACATATCACAAACTGCTTGCTGTTAATTAATGTCTGTTTTTAAAACAATATATACTTTAATAACGAGGATGAACTTATTGACATGTGCATAATTTCCATTTAAATTGTCCGTTTGCATAGCCCAGTTAAATGTTGAAAACTTGCATCTTGTAACATTTCTTGCAATCAGAAAGTCTCAATAATCTCTAATTTAGAAGTACAGAGGTTTTATTAATAATAATCACAGTCCAAAATTATTAGGGCAGACGTGTCATCAGAACGGTGACTTTCCTGTTCTTTACATTTTTCCCAATATCCAGCCGGTGGCATTAATCCTACCTTTCCACTTCACTTTTGTCTCTTTGTGCTTTGGAGCTCAAATAATTTGCCCCAAATTTAATGGTCTACAAGTATACCCATGTCAATCTAATGACAAAATGAAAGGGGGGGGAGGGAGAGAGTGGAGGACCTTTGGAGAAGTGTGGCTCAGAAGATGATCACCTTCACCTTGGGAATCTAATATTGGATTAATAATAAATGAAAATAGAAAAAAATAAAAATCAATAGACATACATCATCTATAGTTCTAGGTCTAGACAGTTGGAGTAATGGATCTAATGAAGGCAGTTGAACTGCAGGGTTTGAAAGCCCTCCTAATATTCACTTGTCAAGACACATAAATTATATTTCAGTGCTTAGGTCATAGCCTGATAGTCAGTCCAACACCTTAACAACATTTTAACAATAGGAAAGATGAAAAGATGGCGACCTTAGGCAGCATTCTTAGGGTGGAACAGAACCAGAAAGACAGAAGCAAATCTGCAGCAGGTCAGAACCATAATGGACGTAGCATCTAGAAACCAGATTGGTAAAAGATCAGGACCTCGAGCAATACGAGGAACCAGCTGGGATGGCAGTGAGGAGCAAAGTAACAAAAATTGAATAGGGAGCAAGAAACCGTGTCAGTGTATGCTGTGATTCTAAGTTGCTGTGTCCACATGATCACAGAGGCATGGACCTTCATCCTCAAATTCCCATCATAATGTCTTGATGGGTCTTTTAATCGGGTGTTTTCTTGATTGCATTGCAGTGTATACTGCAAATACCATTCTGTATAGTTGTGGTGGGTGGTTGAAGCTATATGGATTCCTGTGTATTCTACTGCCATTGTCTTCCATGTGACTCCTTTCCATTTTTATCGTCTAACATTCTCAGGCTAAGCGGAGCATCTCCCTTCCTAGGAGAGAACAAACAGGAAACTCTGTCTAACATTACTGCTGTCAACTACGAGTTTGATGAAGAGTTTTTCAGCCACACCAGTGATCTGGCCAAAGATTTTATTTCAAAACTTCTGGTACAGGACACAAGGTGAGAGGTTAGAACAGACAACAGAAACAGCTAAACAAACAGTTATATGGAACACAAGTCCAGAACTAGAGACAATGAAATCACAGCAGAGCTACTACCCTTTTAAAAATGCAGATTCTCTACAAAAATAAACATACTTTGTGTCTTTGAATAAGATTACGACACTGGAATAAAAGCATGATTAATAACCCTTCAGGGAGTGTTTGTATATTTTCTATATTAAAGAAATGTTTTGTCCATCCTACTAAAAGTTAATAAATTGCCCGTAACTGGGAAGTGCATCTTCATTCACTTCAGTTCCTGGGTTTGTAAACCTGACTTGTTATGATTCACAAAATACTAACAAGTAGACCCGTATGTCCAATACATAAGCCACTTTGATTACGTGGCCCTAATCTACTACTACATGCAAAAAAAAAAAATTTGAAAAAAACTATTATTGAAACCTGGAGAATGTTCAACCATGGTTATTAGCATAATTACACAATTTATGTAAAATTTCTTTTTTTGTGAATCAAATTTTGTAACATTTTCCGTATAAGACATAAACAGGTAGAGGCATGTAGGTGGCATCATAAAAACAAAACAAAAACTACATTCTCCCATATGGGGGATACGATACTACTAGTGCAGTTGGCAAAACGTCAATACAATCTTGTGATTGCCCTGGGGAGACACCTCAAGATACAACGGAGAATATTGTACTCAATAAGGGGTGAGGGCAGACAATCCTCACCACTTGTGCCTAAGTTTAGTTTAGTAGTAAGGCTTGGAACTCTAGAGTATCAGTTGCCAGGAACTCTAGAGTATCAGTTGCCAGGAGCCAGTGCGTTCAGATGGCCAAATATGTTTACGTACATCTCGCGGTGCTGAAAAACAGCTCCTCAATGGCGTGTAGCTCCTCTGTCTGGAGAAAGCATAAGGATAGGGGTGGTGGGGTAGACTGCCTCCTGAATAGTGGGGTCATCTCTTTAGCTTTGTTGAGGTTTTGGGTTGTGAGTGAGTTTTTATATGCTTAGGAACGGATGGGCATATTGTGCAACAACATCAGGGTCAGCAGAAATGGAGGTGAACTGTTTGATAATGATGTAGCACTCCCACCGTATGTGAATGAGGGAAAACGTGGCTGCACTGCAGCATCAGCCTCAATCATCTAGTGAGAGATTTATGAAGTGTAAGACTTAGGGGTTCCTGTACCACAATATGAGCAACTTATAGGCCGACTCCTGTACCTTGCTAGAAATTGCACAGTGTACGAGATCACAGATATTCTGCCAAAAGGTAACCCCAAAGCCTCTTCCCATTTGCTAACAACCGTGAGGCCATAGTCGCTAACTGTTCATGGAGAGTGTATGATGCTATCTACATGCCTCTCCCTGTTTTGTCTTATATTGAAAATGTAAACAACAATTTAATGTAGGCTAATTTAATGTAGGCTAACAGTTGTCCAAATCTTAATTGAACTAGGAGCATAGAATGAGGGCGTCCTTGTCAGTGCCGGGAGGGCCTGAAAGTGACCTGCTACACAGAGATGTCCAGCTTGCGGGACCTTGCCAAAAAACCTATTTTTAATTTTTTTTTAGCATCGTACACTTAAAGTAGCATCTAATGGACAGGATGTGGTTGCATTTATCTAGTTTATTATGATATTTTTATATTTATTTCTTAACTTAATTCGTTGTAAACGTTTTTAATATGTGCATGTCAAATTTATAAGTTTTTTTTTTTTTTACCTAAATTCATTTAAATGTAAATTCCAGCATTGTTTGGAATCTCTGTAATCGTTTCCTGCTCTTCATTTCAGGAAGCGTCTCTCTATCCAGGATGCTTTGTCCCATGTTTGGATCATGGTGAGTACTAAAACCAGCTTGTAAGATGCATGCGAGTGCTATAACGATGAGTGTGAAGTGTAGTAACATTCTAGTAATAATCTCTGGTCACTTGTTCTACGTTCTAACTGAACTCACAGTCATGCAATTCATATTCAATAATTCAGATATTCATCCTGGCTGTTATATGTACGTTGCTGCCCAAACAAAAACTAGCTGGACCCATAAACCATCATAAACCGGTGAATCAACTGCCAAGACATGTATAGCTGTACTTTTATCCTTACTGCATGTACATCTGGCAACCATTGAAATCTATAGGGTGTCCAATAAGTTTTTTTTTTTTTTTTAAATATCAGTAGAAGATTCATGTGCAAGTGTATCAGTCACTGAGAACTTCCAAATCCTTGTGCATGTGGTTGTCATCAAGTGTTTTCGATTGAACGGCATGCTTCCACATCTGCTGTACATATGCACAAGTAGTTCCTGTTCAATAGAATGAGGTCATACCTGTGCGCATACTGCCTAGTGCACACATTCTCAGGGTTATCCACTGAAGGGAGAATTGTCGGGAATTCGATGTGAATTTCAGTTTCAAGGCCAAAATAGCCAAATTCTCCATGTCAGCTATTATACCAATTCTGCTACTTAATTTTGAATTCCCGAAACTGTCACGTTAGTGAAAAACCCTGTTAGTTCTTGGAAAACCTTGGATTAGGTGAGCTGTATCAACAGTTTCTGGTTCAAGCGCACTTTAAATGGGAAACTGACTGGGGGAGGACGAGAGACCAGGGATTTGGTGCTAATGAGATGAATGAAGATGTGAGTATCATTATTATTTTTTTATGCTACACACATGCATTAAAGCAAAGTAAATATCCACCCCTATAGCTTCCCTTTTAGTGTTGCATGGGAAATGTACTCAAAAATGGTTAAATATATAAAACTCAGAAGATGTTAGAGTCAGACATACTTGCCGGAATGTGTATACCTTTAAGGAACACTTTAAATAAATACAATTCATATATATATATATATACTTTTTTTTTTTTTTAAATACTTTTAAATTAAATAAATACATGATATATACACACACACACACACACATATATATATATATATATATATATATTTATATATATATTATTATTATTATTAATGTTCATTATTGTTTTTAGAAAAATAAGCCCTCCTTGTTTTTTTTTTTTTTAATTATTAAATGTAAAACTTACAATTATTTTAGCACCAGCACCACACTTTTGTCCAGTCAGATGCTTGGCATGGCAATCACCATCATCTGTCAATCCAGTCCTTCTCTACTAAACGCATTGAATCAATCCTTTACATGCTCACATCAGATGTCAAATGGATTCTTTTATTGAATCTATTTTAGACTGAAGCTCCTAGTGGCTGTCTGGAAACTATAATACACTATAATTTGTGTCCCGAATAGTTTCATTAAGATGAAGTGATATTGATGCTTAGACGGTTCCTGTCATATCTGATTAACACAAATACTAAGTAATAACACTGCACATGTTTCTGCATTGTGTGCAATTGTGTGCATTTCCTACCACATCTCTTAAGTAACATAAAAAGTGTGGTTTTGTAACTGTATGGTACAGCACGTGTAGTTCTGTTTTGGAATCTACTTGGCATGCATTTGTGCACGGAGTGTCCAGAAATTGTTATCATATCTGACCATTAACATCCTACTCTCCTGTCTGAAGACCCTTCAGTCCAAAGAGGAAAACAAAATCCATGATACCAAAAGAACGGACATGCGGAAGCTTAAAGCCAAGAGATTGAAGGAATATACAATGAAATCTCACTCAAGCATGCCACCCAACAACACTTACGTCAATTTTGAGCGTTTTGCTAGGGTTGTGGAAGACATCTCCACTGCTGAAAACAGATACAGCTCTCTGGCAAGAAATAATGACTCACTTCATGAAGATGTTGAGGCCCTCATCTCCATATACAACGAAAAGGAAACCTGGTACAAGGAGGAGAATGAAAATGTTAGACATGAGCTTTCCCAGCTCCGCTACGAGTGCCGTAAAGTGGAGTCCATGAAGAGGAATTTTCAACAAGACGTGCACTTGGTGGGATCCAACCTTGGAAACATCTGTGGGAGATACTCTGACCTGCAGTCTCGCTATGATAAACTCAGCAAGGAACTGTCTGAAGATCTGAAATGGATCCAAAATGTAGTAGATGGATTCCATGAGGGTGATACAGGATTCTGTGGGGGGAACTTTGCTTCTGTGTTAAACAGAGACCTGAGTGAATCATTTATGGATCTTCTGAATCGGTCATGCAGTGAAGACCTTCTGGAAGGGCTCAATCTTCGAATTACAGACTCCAAGATCTAATAGGTCCTCTGTAGAAAAGCATCATTAAAATAAAGCCTGCTGAATTTTTAAGCAGTAACTGTTATGGCTTAAACTAATAAAGGATTTCCTATTTTTGAATTCTGTAGAACAGAGAATATGTATATAGGATTAAATGGTAACAGATCTATTTTAAAAATGATGTTCCTAATATTTTTACAACATGCATATTTGTTATTATTTGAATTCTGGCAAAGTTACCATATGGTGCTAGTTAAGCCAGGTCTTACAGAGGCATTCATCCTAACTTGGAGAGTGGAGGGAACATTTTTAACCAAGTTGCAACATTTTTTAAGTCCCTGATCTTTGTGTATATATATATATATATATATATATTATTATTATTATTTTATTTATTTTTTTCTCTGAGTATGGTAAATATCTTATCGGTTATATCTTCCCATTCTCCATATCGTTCCTTAATATCATCAGATTGGCCATTTGTTGTGGGAGGAAGATTTCTCCCCCATCATTGTTATAGGATACCAGTATATAAGCATATATGAGTTTTGTTTCTGAGAGATATGGGAGTGTGAGAATACATTTGGCCAATAGCATGCCCCTACTGACTTCAGAAACAGCTCATCTAACCCCAGTTTAACCCATTAAGGACACATGACATGTGTGACATGTCATGATTCCCTTTTATTCCAGAAGTTTGGTCCTTAAGGGGTTAAAGGAATCAATAAACTTTGATCGAATAGCTTCACTATGTAGTGAATTACTTATCTCCATTGTACTTTTTTGCATAAACTCTTTGCTGTTGGTAAAATCTCTTTTCCTCTTGTCTAAATGGGTAAACGTCTTTGTACAATCCTGTTAATGAAGAGGTCACCCAATAGATATGTTTATGTATATACATATGCACATTATATAGTTTTGCAATGTTTTCATCTTCCCTTTTAAATTATTTTTTTTCCCTGTTTAATCATTTTTGATTCTTTCTTCATAACTAAGACCTTGCAATTCTTTTTTATTTGTAGTCTGTTTATTTCATTCCGGTCCATAATGTTTTTTTATGAGAACTGAGACACTTTTGAGCTATTGCATTCAATGTGCTGTTTTACCGGTAATTTTTGAAGAGGTAAACTTAAAGGACCACTATAGGCACCCAGACCACTTCAGCTTAATGAAGTGGTGTGGGTGCCAGGTCCCTCTAGGATTAACCCTTTCTGCTGTAAACATAGCAGTTTCAGAGAAACTGCTATGTTTACCTTAGGGTTAATCTAGCCTCTAGTGGCTGTCTCATTGACAGCCGCTAGAGGCGCTTCACAGTTTTCACAGTGAGAAGATGCCAGTGTCCATAGAAAAGCATTGAGAATGCTTTCCTATGAGACTGGCTGAATGCGCGCGCGGCTCTTGCTGTGCATACGCATTCAGCCGATGACGGGGAAAGGAGGCGGAGAGTCCCCAACGCCGAGGGAGCCCGGCGGTGGAGAAAAGGTATGTGTTTAACCCCTTCCTCACCCTAGAGCCTGGCGGGAGGGGGAGAGGGTGGGGGCACCCTCAGGGCACTATAGTGCCAGGAAAACGAGTATGTTTTCCTGGCACTATAGTGGTCCTTTAATATTGAATTCACTAAATTCAATAAACCCTGAATTGTTAAAAACCCTTAGTGGTGTGAGGGTTAAAAGTAAGAAATAAAAATGGAAAAAAGCCTTTTACTAGCAGTCAGCAGGCAAATAGTTTGAATTATCAAAATCCCATCCTAGACATATTTCATTTGTCCAGTAGCTTTTGATCCTGTGGAAATTTGGACCAAATCCATGCTCTTTCAGTATACATGCTATGAGCAATGTCAGGGGTTTGCAGTTCAAGTTCCCAGGTATGGCAGCAAATGGTTTTGTCTTATTTGGTAACGGGCCATTCGGACTTTATTGAATAACCATGTATGTGTCACTTTTGTGATCTTCATGACAATATCTTACTAACCTTGCAGCCACTGACTGACATTATACATTGTTGCTAAGTCTACTGTCCGAAATAATTCCTTATCCACTTTTCTAACTTAAAGGGACACTATAGTCACTAAAACAACTTCAGCTTGTGACCATGACCTGCCTAACCACAATATACAATATTGTAACCCTCTCCCTGTGTATTGTCACATATAGTTAAGTGAAGAAACATCTTAAAAGCATTTTTCTGCATCTCCATTTGACTTCATACTATACATTGCCTAATATATGCCTTTCTTCCTTTACATTTTTCAATTAATAATGACATTGACACATGCTTGTCCATCCCCTTTCCTGCCTCCGCCTGCCCAATTTGCTGTGCTTTGCATTTTTGTAGATAGATATTGTCTGTGTTCATTAAATATTCTGCTCCATGCAGGAAGCCAAATACAGACTGGAGGAATGTCATCACTGGGCATTCCAGGTCTAAATTTAGAGTTTCCGGGCTAAAGTGTCCTTCCAAGTCTTCTGATATGAGGAAGGTTAAAACACTACATTTAAAGGGGCGCCGTATCAAATATATATATCTTTTCTAAATGAAAGAGCTGCATTGGAAACATGGAAACATATTCTTTTTAACCTTGTTTTAATTTTTGGCACTCTGTAGAAAATATTTTTGCACTACTGTATTACTCCTGTATTACTCTCTTTCTTTCTGTATGTATATGGTTTTATATATATATATATAAAAATTCACAAATGGGTTTGGCACACTACCTATGCAAAGTATAAAAATAGAAAAAGTACCAGGGTGCCAACCAGCGATATAAATATAGAGTAATGATAAGGTGCACTCCTGGATTTGAAAAATATTAGATTTATTGTGCAAACAAAATAGTGGTTCAGTGGATCGACGTTTCGACCAATACACAGTCTTTTTCAAGATCAGAGACGTCAAAACGTCGATCCACTGAACCTCTATTTTTTTGCACAATAAATCTAATATTTTTCAAATCCGGGAGTGCACCTTATCATTACTATATATATATATATATATATATATATATATATATATACATATACACACACACTTGATTTGCACAGTTAGCCATGGCCATAAATGAAGCGTCTGGAAAAAATTGTGATCCTCTTGTCCAACTATCTTGGAGAAGATGACATAATGTGCACGTCAAGAGACTTGGGGAGAACCTTTCGCCTTGACGTGTGTATATGGCAAGGAACATGTGCACATCCTCTGGACCTTTAACATGTGAACTCAATACTTAATACCATCTGGCCTATTGTACATTATGCATCCAACAATGGCACCAGGGAATGGATTAAAGATGAAAGAGCTTTAGGCAGCTCCCACCAAATTATTGACCCCCTTATCCCACTATACTGATTATTAGTTGGCCCCTGGGATCCCATCACTTTTGTAAAGAGAAGGACGACTTTTTCTGATGTTCTCTTGTTAACACCCACTGGCTTACAGGGTTTTTTTTCAGAAGTCTTGTAATACAGGTAAATTGGTTAGGTAATTTGAAACCAAAAAGTCAGTAATTTTGGGAGGTAAAATGGTTGCAGGGGGGTCCAAGACAAACAAATTCCAGATCGTAAGATAAATAGCAAGGTCAGACAGTCCAAAGGTTCAAATATCTAGACAGAAGAGGTTCAAGAGCGAGGTGGCAAGCCAAGGGTCATATACCAGGAAATCAGGAATTGGTAGACAGCCGAGTGACCACAGCAATAGTACAGAACTGAGTAATGAAGGCTCAGCTATCCCGGGTTTATATAGGGGCCTTAATGTAGCCAAGCCCTCTCTGTCTGTTTAAAATAGCATGAGAACTTGTGTATTGTATGGTGGACATAGTCTGGGCAGTCCTCCCGATGGTTCCAAGTGTGCACCTCTCCTTGGTGCTTTTCGTTGGATAATGAAGCAAATATTGAGATGTCATTCTCTCTTGCATTTAGTTGTACATTATGAAGAAAAACCCATATCCTATTCTTAATACGTACAGTTATTAATGTCAGATTTTGTCAACAATCGGCCGGATGAATTCGGTGTTTTAAAATCTGAAATATTTACAAAGCACCAATATTACACAAATCAGAACCATATGCATTCAGCAGGATGCACATTTGCAAAGTAGTGGGAAATTTCCTGGTGGGCCGCGGCACCTGGGGGCTGCACAACTCTAATTCCCTATAGAGAGGATGCCCTGTTCCCATTTTCAATAATATCGCGGCCGCTGACCGCAGGTAGGTCCTGCTGGGTGGCCGGTCCGGTGGCACACTCTGAGGGGGCCGGCCGCGTCCTATAGTTACCTTGCGGCCAGTGGTCGCATCTCATATAGTGTATGGTGGTGCCGCCGGGTTGGGTGGCCAAATAGCCGGTCCAGTGACACACTCACTGATACTGACAGCAGTACAGCTGTCAGCACAGGAGGACTGAGGGAGAGGGCAGAGCAGACTATCATGCTCCCTTGCAGTTCCCATAATTCCCAGCACAGCCACATCATAGAGTAGTGATTACTCTATGATGTGTCAATGCTGGGAATTATGGGAACCGCGAGGGAGCATGATAGTCTGCTCTGCCCTCTCCCTCAGTCCTCCTGTGCTGTCTGACAGACTGTCAGACAAGGTCAGCATTAGGGGTTGGTGAAGGGTAGACATTGACACAGAGGGAGGGGGAGAAAGAGACACAGGGGGAAGAGAGACACAAGGGGAGGGGGGACAAAGAGACAGAGGTGTAATAGAGAGACAGGGGGAGGGGGCAAAGAGACAGAGGGGTAGAGAGACACACAGGGGAGGGGGGAGAAAGAGACGCAGGGGGAGAGAGAGACACAGGGAAGAGAGAGACAGAGTGTGGAGAGAGAGATAGGGAAAAGAGGGGGGAGAGAGACAGGGAAGAGAGGGGAGAAAGAGACACAGAGGAGCAGTGAGGAGGGAAAAGAGACACAGAGAGGGACTGAGGGAGACAGAGACACACAGAATGTTTGTTGGGGGACAAAGAGACATACAGAAGGGAAGGGGAACAAAGAGACACAGAGTGGCTGGGAGAAGAGAAAGAGGCACACAGAGAGTCTGGAATTAGAAAGAGACACACAGAGGGAATTTGAAGGGGAGAAATAGACAAAGGGGTTGGGGCTAAGACATACACAAAAGGGGCTGGGGGGAAAAAGAAATACAGAGGCTGTAAAAGGGTAAAAAGAGACACACACTTGTGATCAAGCCCCCCCCCCAATGGTCCTTGTTGCCCCAGGTAAACTAATCTGTGACCCACCCCCTTTAATTAAAAACCACTGTACTCAATCCAACTTCTCTGTGAGTTTCACCCCATGAGTTTCTTTCCCTTTACAGTATAGTTACATCTGTTTTAATTTGTGGGTTTTTTTTGGATGGGATATATCCTATGGGCACGCAACAGGCTATTATTTTTATTCACTGATCACTGTACGCCTATTAAAAACAAAACAAAAACAAACATATACATGATATATCATTATAGTAAAACAGTCACACAAACAAAATAGAGCGATTGGCAGCAGTTTTTTTTTCTTTTTTAAGAAGAAGAAATCAGCATAAATGAATGCCATGGAAAGGGTCAGTACAGGCAAAACACACCATACAACATAGACTAACTAGGTCAAGGTGCTAGACGTCAAGGTCAAAAGACAACAAGCCATTTATAAGAATCTCCAGCATGTTATGGACAGAATGACACTGGCTTATATAGGGCTCTTTTAGCTACGCCAGATTTTTGCACAAACCCTGTTATGCAGATTGAGTACATGCAGATTGAGTACTTCCACCAAGTCAGCTTCTTCTAAGATGTGACGTTGCTCAGCACTCAGCTTGAGTATCTCCATCAAGGGTCCCTCTCTTTGAGTGCTGGATACCTGGAGTAATTGTAGCTGTCTCACCCAAACACGAGTAAAGACTTAATGTAGGGTGAACAAAAACTGACTTAATGATAACAAGTCACACTTTTAAACACACGACCCAACTGGGGCTCCTTAACGTGAACAATGTAAATCCCATCCTGGGGTCTCTCAGAATTAAGTGAGAAATTGGGCTCCTGTCTCTGCATAGCGGCAGAACTGCAGATTTGTCACGTGCATCTGAGAAGTGTATAAATCCTGAAAAGAAACCCTTCACTTTTCCAGAACTGCGATATAAATTGACAAACCCTCACCAGTTTACCCTTTCAGTGTAATGACTTAGACGGCCAATCTTCCTTCAAGTCTACAACACTTGCTGTCAAAAATAAACAAACTATAGTGATGCGTTTGCAAAGAGGATCTCATCCTACAACCTATGCATCTGGTACAGAGCTAATTAAAGCAAGCCGGGGCCTCCAGGAGCCACTGTGAGCCAGGTAGGAACAAAATGGCTTCCAAAACTTGCACCAACCTAAGAGGGGCTGCATACGTTTTAATGTGTGTTCATAATGTATGATCATGAATGTCCGAATATACTTTGTAGAAATACAGACCCCAAATAATTTTTATATTATTATTTTATATTTGTGAACTGCAATTTATTTATTAATTATTTGCTATGTTTAATTGTATCTTAAGAGGTAGATAAACAGAACAATTCCCACTTGAATTGTTTTTGTATTTATAATGCTTATGTGTCTGTGTCTTACAGCCAAAAGATAAGAGCCAAGTCCTAGTGAGGAAAAGATCTGTAATAAATTTGGAGAACTTCAGGAAGCAGTATGTTCGAAGGCGCTGGAAGGTAAGAATTCTGTTAAGTTTATTGTTTTTCACCATTAAATTCCCACTATTTCAGATCTTATCCCGTAACTTGGAATGATTGGAGTGTATACTTTAAGGCTGACTTTGAGATTTATTTCAAAGAACTACAAACTGAGTGACCTTCCATGGAAAAAGTGTCCGGTTACTCTTCTGAAAGATGGGGAGGGGGTGGGAGGGGTTGGAGGAGGTAACCCCCAGGATATATTATATGACAAAGCAAAGAACACCTGGATAAACCGTGCAGGAGGTAAACCCTTTTGTAGCAATGAGTAACCCAAGTAGTAAATAAAATCGTAACTTTTAATATAATGGTTAAAATCTTCCTATATAATTAATATCCAATCAAATAGGACTAAGACAATCCTAAAATGATGTCAACAGAAATTATAATAGTTATAATAAAACAATAATAAATGCAACTAAACTAATTTAGTGATCCCAAAATTCGATTAGTGTAACCCAAAATATATATATATATCTATATATAAAGGGGAAGGAGAACAAATATATGCAAGTTGGGATGATATGATCGCACCAAAGTTACCTTAGACTTACCTAGTCCCTGGAAGGGAGGAGGATTTTAGATTTTGTTAAGGGGTGCCCTCGAAAGCACAACAGAGTAGGATATTTCATTACCTGCAGCTCATCGCTTTGTTCCTTGTATATCTACTGTACGATATAATTCTCCCCCTGGACAAACAAGATACAATTGTAACATCGATATCTAGTTACATTTTGGTAACATACAATTTTGTTTTGGTGCGGATCACATCATCCCAACTTGCATATATTTGTTCTCCTTCTCCTTTTCTTTTGTCTGAGTGATTTATATATATATATTTTTTTTTTTTCACATAAATTTTGGGTTACACTAATCGAATTTTGGGATCACTAAATTAGTTTAGTTGCATTTATTCTTTTTTTTTAATTATAACTATTATAATTTCTTTTGACATAATTTTAGGATTTTCTTAGTCCTATTTGATTGGATATTAATTATATAGGAAGATTTTAACCATTATATTAAAAGTTACGATTTTATTTACTACTTGGGTTACTCATTGTTACAAAAGGGTTTACCTCTTGAATGGTTTACCCAGGTGTTCTTTGCTTTGCCATTTATTTCAAAGAATACACAGATTAAACACATTTATAAGTATCCCATTAGTTGGAGAATTTACAAAATCAGCTGTTTTGGCACAATTTTTTTAATTCGGTTTTAATTCACTACAATCCACTGTTTATTTAATTAAAATCCTGTATACATGTACACATTTTACAAGATAATGTCAGATCAAGAGTTAGCTTACTTACCTTTGTGACACTGTGGCGAAGACATGAGGATATCATGCAGGTGATTTTAGCAAAGTGCTGCTGAATGGTTCAACAGAATGAAAAATCAGGGATCTCCTTGTGCTAAAAGATAAAATTAATATATATTAAAATATTCTATATCTGGAGCATATAAACATAAAATGTGATGGCAGATAAAAAAAAACATTTGGCCTGTCTAGTCTGCCCAATTTTCTAAATAATTTCATTAGACCCTGGTCTTATCTTATATCTAGGATAGCCTTATGCCTATCCCTCACTGTGTTAACCTCTACTTCAGCTGGAAGGCTATTCCATGCATCCACTACCCTCTCGGTAAAGTAATACTTCCTGATATTATTTTTAAACCTTTGTCCCTCTAATTTAAGACTATGTCCTCTTGTTGTGGTAGTTTTTCTTCTTTTAAATATAGTCTCCTCCTTTACTGTGTTGATTCCCTTTATATATTTAAATGTTTCTATCATATCCCCCCTGTCTCGTCTTTCCTCCAAGCTATAAATGTTAAGATCCTTTAACCTTTCCTGGTAAGTTTTATCCCGCAATCCATGAACCAGTTTAGTAGCCCTTCTCTGAACCCTCTCTAAGGTATCAATATCCTTCTGAAGATACGGTCTCCAGTACTGTGTACAATACTCCAAGTGAGGTCTCACCAGTGTTCTGTACAATGGCATGAGCACTTCCCTCTTTCTACTGCTAATACCTCTCCCTATACAACCAAGCATTCTGCTAGCATTTCCTGCTACCCTATTACATTGTCTGCCTACCTTTAAGTCACCTGAAATAATTACCCCTAAATCCCTTTCCTGTTGAGGTTAGGACTCTATCAAATATTTTATACTCTGACCTTGAGCATACGCAGTTATGGTTCTTGGAGTTTCCCTTTAAGAGTCAGAACACTGTGTCTCTCAGTCAGTCTACAAAAAGAATGAGCAAGATAAAATTAATGAGAATCTTTCACTGTAAAAGGTTATTGATAAAAAAAGTCTGACAATTTAAAAAGAGGATAAAGCTGTAGATACGAAGAACGTGAAAGATAACAGGCAACCAGTTTTCCTCTCCTGAAAGTACACAAGAGGTTTGTTGGCAGTAGTGGCGAAAACCTACAGTCACAAAGGTCACAAGTGCAACTGGGCTGCCTGTCACCAGGGGCCCATGCAGAGCTAGACTGGTCCACCGGGAAACCGGGAGATTTTCTGGTGTCCCGTTCTTGCCTTGGGTCGGTCAGTGCGTGGCACAAAAAAAGTGCCCTTTGCTCCCTCGCAATGTGCGCAGAGTGTGAAAGGCTGCTGGGATTTCTGACATCATATACCGTTGCCCAGATGTCGGGCAAAGAGAAGGTGAGCACCGGAGAAAGAGCCCAACTGTAATATTTAATGTGAGTTGTGTGTGTATGTCTCACTATGTGCGTGTGGGTGTGTATGTCAGTGAGTGTGGCTATCTACTGTTGCATTAAAGGAACACTATAGGGCTATAACACTATAGGGAATAATTATGTGTTATTCTGACTCTATAGTTTTAAAGCACTATTTAGGTAACTGCCCCCCCTTTAAAACTGGTGTAAAACTTACCTTTATTCCAGCGTTGCAAGTGTCCACTGGAGCTTGCTCCCCCCCTGCCCCGCCTCCTTGGCTGAGATCATCAGAATTGGCGATCTCAGACAATCCAATGCTTTCCAAAGGAAAGCATTGGATTGGCTGAGATCATCAATTCTGATTATCTCAACCAAGAAGGTTGGGTAGAGGGTGGAGCCAAATACTGTGCTGGCCAATCAGCATCTCCTCATAGAGATGCATTGAATCAATTCTCTGAAGAGTTAGTGTTTACATAAAAATGCTTGCAGGGACATACTATACACACCAGAACAACTACATTAAACTGTAGTTGTTCTGGTGACTATAGCGTCTCTTAAACTATATATACACACAAGATTGGTCATGTTTAGCCTTGTGTGTTAGTGTAAGGGACACTACAGACGCTATTCTCCTTCACCTCTCTACCAGGAACGAAAAAGACAGCTCTGCCAATGTTCCGAGCCAGTATTTTAGAAAAATATTTTAGGTCTGCAGTTAGGAGTGATATGAATCTGTAGCTGGAGCAAACCAAAACTAATAAAGAAATGCATATGGCTCTAAAAATAATGTATTTGTTTTAAAAGTTATAGCATTCCTATATTTGAGCCAAACATCTCGAACATCTCGGCATATCAACTGCAAGCCACTTCCTTGTCAGTTGTGTGCCCTGGGAAGCAGCCAGAATTTACTGATTGTGGCTTCTGGCAAAGACTTCCCAGCATTCCATCTCCCTGATCCAGTTTCAGAGCAATATGTGAAGCAAACCATACCAGACATGGTCTATCTGATTGCACAATCGTAAGTGCAATTTAAATGATAAGAACAATAGTAAAATTCAAGTATAAAGTTCACCTGTCATATGATACCAATTTTGCAATATGAATTGCTGGCAAGATATTTGTTCTTTTAAGTAATTTATTTTCATTAAATGAACGTGCATCTGTTAATTCCCAGGATGCCCCTGACTAGTTGTTGATTGACAGCTTTTATTCAGTAATATTACACCCTTGTAACAAGTTCCATTATTATAGCAGAAAATATTAAGTGATATCTCTTTAAAAATATACTATTGTGGCATGTTAAAGGGACTCTCCAGACCCATGCTATGTATGAAGTGTGTGTTCTCTTTTTTTTTCTTTTTTACAAAAAGTGAAGATTTTTGGTACTTTTATAAATTAGCCTTCTTACACCCCCTGAATTTTAAAAAGGCATAAAGGGATTCTCCACAAATGGTAGGGCCTAACCCTAAAAAGTTAATTAAAGGAATAATAGGAAATCCCCCAATAAAGAGGATTTAATTGGAGAAACCCTAAATTAGCATATGAAATGTACTATATTAAAAAGTGCTAATGCCTTATGTTGTATAATTCTTCTCTCACCACCAATACTTCCAATTAGTATCCTTTTGAACGAAATCTACTCTGCATTGTGTATTAACGTAATACCTCGGAGCACTAAGGCTCCTACAAACCAAATTAATAGAATTAACACCTAGATAGGAGCTTCTCAAAAGCTCAGCTGCAGTAATTGTATAATTGGTCAAAAAGATTACTTGACCATACAATAGAGGGAACTAATGCCTAGTATCCTAGTATCCGGGAGCTAAAAGAACCTTAAATAGGTTTATCTGTGTCTCGAATATGTATATCAAAGTGATAGTGCATATACTAGAGCAGGTCCATGCTCTAATGCATGTGAGTAAGATACCTACCTTTTTGTATATGCACTACCACTTTGATATACATTTTGCAGTACTGGATATTCTAATTTTTGTCTTCACATATTCGAGACACAGATAAAGTCTACCACCACTGTAGCTGAAAATATATCCAGTGACGGGGATTGTACTGTCTACGCCCTACACAGCAGAGCTCTTTGTAGCTCTATAAATTGTGAGTGAGTTTTTGCTGTGTTAAAGACTGCAATATTTTTGTCTCTCTTTTTACTTTTTCTTTGAGATACCATGCACTGTATAACAGCCAAAGACTTCATAGACTTTTAACAAACGTATGTGCATATGATTTATATTTGACTTCACTTTTGTACATTACTGTGTTCTAAGGTGCGGTTATCTATTTTTTGTATTTGTCTTCTGTCTCTATTCCTACAAGGTTTTGGGGAATCCTTGTAAGATTTACCACTGCCTCAAAGTATATAGTGAGCACCTCATTTTTGTGTTTTTCTGTGTTTAATGAAGGCCAATCCAGTGGGTCTCTAGTGTTTAGTGCTCAACAAATGTGACCTGTCAACCACTGGTACATCAAAGGACAAGGAAAGTGTTGATATGGTTTTAAGCTATTGAAAAATGGGCCACTTATTTGTAACATGCCTCAGTCTCACAATTGCCAGCCCTTCTCTGAATATGTATATTCAGTAAACTCTTGTACAGAAGGGGATTCTGGGAAATGTATGGCCAGGTGATTTGTGTTTTCATTTTATTGTAGTTAGACCAGTTTGGTTCGTTGTGGTGGATGGTTAGTTAGGGATACGTTTTCAAATTGTTCTAATTTGTGATGCCTAATAATGTTTTTAGGCAGTAGGTTGTGATAGAATAGTGAGATCAAGGACTGTTTTCATGCTTCTATTATTGTACTTTGAGCACTATAGTTTTAAATAACTAAAATGAGTGGGCGGGTAGGCCACCACAAATCAGACATGTCAGCAGTAAAGACTGGATTTTGTTTTGTGCGTGTTGCTGAATTTGTCCCTTTCATTTCCAAATCGAGTAACAAACTTGAATTCATGGGGCATTGCTGTGCTCGGAGGGTGTAGAAGAGTACAGATTGGGTTATTTTCACCTGCACTGGCAGATAATTTGTACTTTAAATCCACAGTCATGATGTAATAATGTAGGTTTTAAAATGCAGAGAAAAAGCTGTAACAGTACTTAATGATCCTCTAATTACTTTAATTACTTTAAAGGTGCGGCAGACCTGGGATCTCCCTAGCTGTTTTCCAATGTCTGCTCATTTCGTAATGCTCCTCCCATGCAATGATCTCATTACTTTTATCTGTCCCGGGGATAGGCAACCTTTAAACTCTCTATATCCGTGTCTTCCATTATACATGTATGCGTGTGTAATGTTTCACAGATGTGTACATTCAAGTGATATCTCAAAGGATATCTCAAAGAGTCACCTACGCACGGATAAAGATAGACTTTTTTTTTCTTCAAATTAGAGAAATCTAAATCGTGTTGCCGCAAAACCTGTCATACAGAAATGATATACATATAGATATTGATATAGACCTGGTAGTGAAGCTTTGGGTCATGGTGACATTAAAAATATGTTTGCTAAATGTAAACTAGTTAAAAATGTGAATATAGCTGAGCTAGAACATTTTCTCAGCTTCCTTTTTTATGAATCCTTTATTTAACATCCTACAAGACAAACATCAAGATATCAGAAAATGTTTGGCATGGCTTAGGGTTCTGGGAGTTGTAGTTTAGAGGTTTCTACAGATGAAAGCTTACAATGAAACCTCCCAGAAGATGTACAAATGAATGGACTCCAAATTTAGCTTCTCAGTGGTGAAATGTATTCATCCAAGCAACAGGTGGACTTGGCAACGTTTCGGCAATTCCCAGTATGGCTTATGAGATAACCTCAGCATTCCTATGGAAAGATATGAGATCACGATTGGAAGATCCACTTTCTGGTTTGCTGAGAGCTTATTGCAGAAGCTGCACAGCCTGTGCATTTGCAGCAAATGCCAGCACTTCCAATATATATTTTTTACATTATTTTATTTATTGATTTTTTGTATATTTTGATGTATTATCTCTATAATGCAAAAATAAATTAAAAATTGGTCGACCTTAGCCAGAAGTGCTCTTTAACCTGTTGACTTGCCAGTATAATTCAGGGTTGCAGATTTCATATATTGCCCAGCAGTAACAGAAGGAACAGGGCATTGCAAGCAGAGCTGGATTAAGGTTGCTCAGAGCCATAGGCAGTGTGCGAGATTGGGGTCCCCACCTAGAGCTATGGGTGTGACGTGTCTGTAACAATGTGCGTGCATTTTATTAGTTTTTACTTTCCTGATCTCACTATTTTCTATAACTGTATCTCTCCACTAATTATCACTTCACCAAATTCCCCCACACCCATCAACCTGTCTTCATCATTTACTGTATATCCTCTCTGTTTCTCCCCACTTATCTCTGTGCTCCACATCCCCTTTTTATTCTTTGTGCTCCATCTCCATTTTCACTTGTTACCTGTGCCCCACTACCCTGCCTGATGTGACTCCCTTTACTCGCCTTCACGCTGCAAGGCTCATCAGTCTTGGTTGGATCTCACTATCTGGCTGGGATGGGTGGCAGGTTGCGCCAGCTCGCCATGATGACTTGCTAGCTATTGAGTAAGAACAAAGTGCTACCTTTATGCGAGTTTATATTCAACTGTTTCCTACCCTTTGTTCCTAATCTGGACTAGCTGTTGGCTTAGCTGGCTACTGGCCGGCCAATCGGCCTAGTGGATGTGGGCCTTTTGCTGCCAAGTCCAGTCAAAGCTATGGCCAGTACGTTCAGACTGGAGGCACGCATGAACATGGCAAAATGTAAATTTGATGCATTTTTATGCATCAGCCGACACTTATAGTTTGTTAATTAATGTGAGAATTGTTGGTAATTCATAGTGAATTTCAAATTTAGGGCCAAAATAGGGGAATTTCGTAAATTTTTCAAGTTGGTTTGGTTTAACATTTAAAATGTAATCCCTGATAATTTTCAATTTAGTAAATAACCGTATCATGTTAGAAGCCGTAGCATGTCATCGGCCCACCCACGTAGTCATAGAGATAGGTTGTTAAAGAGCCCCACACTCTGACATGCCTAGAAAGTGATGTGTCCAGAAAAAAAAAAAGCTTTTGCATTACACATGCATCGCAAACATATCAGGATAAAAAAAAAATACCACCTCTTTTACTACGCTAAACAATAAAGCAATCTGAGATATTGTGCATTTGTCAGCTTTAAGCAGGATGTAACATGTATAAATCTTTGCATGAGTACAAAACTGTGGCCAACATTTTTACATGTCCTGAGGTTAAACCCATCTATTCAGCACATGCCATGTTTATATAGTATAACTTGTTCTTGATACGTTGACTGAGGAAAGTTTAACCATTTCCTAAAACAGGGCGCGAGAGGATACTTAACCATTTCCTGGATTATTTCAGATTGCTGCCCTGTCCAAAGACAACAAATATTTTATTCAAGTAATAAAGTGACAGTAAAATGAATAAAGTGGGTATTTCCCTCATTAAAGGAAAAGAGGAAGCTGAAGAATAAAATTTTAAAAAATTATATCTATGTATTTTTTATTTATTTATTTTTTTCAATTCTTTATTTTTGGATGTGCTTAGTTACAACAGGGATAATATAATCAGCAGATGTAAGTGATCACAAGATTAGACATCAATCGCATAAGCAACCTTCGGCACTCCAGATGTTTTGGACTACACCTCCCATGATTCTTTACCAGCATTATGGGTGTAAGAGCATTATGGGGGATGTGGTCCACAACATCTCGAGTGCCAAAGGTTTCCTATCCCTGGCATAAGGTAGACAGTGCATTTTTGTAATTTATCACGAAAATAACAGTGTTAGGCAAGCTGTACTTTAGTGAAAAAGAGACTGAGAGTAAATTCAACTGCAAGAGAGGAGTAAGTATTAAGACAAGTAGCTTGGCAAAAAACAGGAATAAAGATTATAGGAGCCATCCCCATAGACTATAAGGCATACAGTGGGTGAGCCCCCTTTCAGGCCCAGTTTAAGTTGATGCCAATTCTGTAGAGCCTCAGGTACTGTGTGTGTGAGTCCATCACAGTCGAGACTAGGCCGAGGTCTAGGACGCTGTGCACTGGTGACTCCTCAGAGTAAGCTCTGTGCTGTGGCAATGTGCTGTTGTCATGTGGAGAAGAGAGGGGGGAGCATAGTGCACACCAGGCTGCGGCTTGATTGATCTACTCTCCGGGATCGTGTCCACAAAGGAGATCTCAGGTGGATCATGTTCGCCCCTTTCGGCAATTCTGGTCACGTGATCCACGTCAGTGGCCAACCGTTTTACCCTGCCCTTTGACTTCCTGCTTTACTGGACACTGCTGTTAGCGGCTATGAACTTACTTGAAAGATGAAAGCATAAATTAGAGAGAGATTAGCATAGGGTATGTGTTTTCTTATAGCTGCATCCTTTAAGTTTCCCTCCAACAGCAACTCCATCAGATACATGATGCTTGGAAGGTAGGACTATTTTAGTGGTTTTGGTCAATAAGATTCTGTAATTAGGCCCATCATAATTGTCAGCTCCAGGCCCACTGGGCTCTTTTTTGGCCCTGTATACAGCAACAATATGAATTAAAGGTCACGCGAAGCACCATAGTAACTCTCATTATTGCATAGTTTATGTTGCAAAAAGCTTATACTGCAATGGTTTGCAAACATATTTTGCAATTGACTGATTCAGGATCAATAATATAAAAAGAGTGTGGTTTCAGACAGATGTATTCCACAAATCAAAAACAGCTGTATTCAGACAAGCAATGGGTTTGGTAAGAGCTGTTGATTTCAGACAAGATCATGTTTGGCTCAGTATAAAGCAAGAGTATCTGTTGTCAAACAAGGGTTTGGTTTGGTTTGGTTCGGTTCACAGAACACCTGTACAAGGTGAGAGAGTGGAACAAAGTGAATTGAGATGAGGCAGAACAGGACTGAGCAGAACCAGGTGGCCAGACACTAGGAAAACAGGTATAACATAAAACAGATACAGGGTGATACTGGAATTTAGCAGACACGTGCGACTGGTTTGAGGAATTCAAAGCAGACTGGATCCGTGACACTCAGGCCAAATGTAGCAGACAGTGATTTAAGCGGCTCTGTCACTCTGCAGGTTTCGTTTTTTTCTGTTTAAGGTCTGAACCTCGTTGGGGTTGTTAGAAAAACCTAATGACTAACTTCCAGGAAAACTGCACAAAGTCTCAAAAGTTTGGAATTTCCCAGTGATTATAGAGAATTTATAACCTATACCTCCCAACATTAGGAGGAATGACGATGGGACGGATGGGTGTTGCACTTTGAATTACTGGTGAGACCAATAATGATTTGGTCTGTCCAAGAGGGGACCGCCAATTATGCTGTGATGTCTTCCTGTTTTGTTACTGATTTGTACGCTAGTATGCTGGTTTCTTCCTACAGCTGAATATATTACTGTATATAAAATGTGACAAAATCATACGAGAGAGGAGACATATTAACGCATCCCTGTACACTTTACTCTGTGCTCTGTTTACAGGCAGGGTTAGTGTATTATTCTGTTTGCTATTTCTGAAATGGTAATACTTTTTTATTCACAGCTTTCTTACAGTGTTGTGTCCCTGTGCAATCACTTGAGTCGTTCCCTCAAGAAAAAAGGTTTGGATTCAGAAGTCCTTAAGCCGGTAATAATTTACTTACGTGGGCAATAATATCCTATTTGTGATTTTATCATTATTCCCTTAATGACAGCTAGCGTCCCATGACTGGTTTAAAATGATTGATTTGAATGCTATAATATGGTTTGGATAACCTCATGCAAGGAAGTTGTATCCACTAAATTGGGAATCGACCAAGGAATTGTAAATTCTAGGCCAAAGTCAACCTAGCTGACCTGAAAAAATAGTTGAATTGAACAATCATTTCCATTTTGCTTGTACTAAATTGACACTCCACTACCCAAATACAAAACATAAAAATATCATTATTAGATATACCCCAAATTAAAACATGTATTCATTATTTTCATTGGGGCTATATCTAAAACAAAAATAGCAAAAGCTGCAGATATCCTGTCTGCAGCCTTTACAAGCCCTCCCCTTCTAACCCCGCCCAGACTTTCTGTGGCTGTCCAATCACAGACTTCCCAATGCAGTTCAATGAGAAGTCTTTGCAAGGCAGATGTTGGCTCCACTGAACTAACCAAACCAGTAAGCAACAGGACTGGTTGTTCGATTGACAGCTGTGGAGGGGGGAAAGGGGGACAAGGTTAATTTGTAAATGTTGCAATTTCTACTGAACTCTACATTCATTTTTTTTGTAAAATGGAAAAAAGTTACCAACGTACCACTAGTTATAGCAAGGCTGTGTGAGGTTACATTTTGCAATTTGATTTTCAATTCATTTCAACTTTATGTTGTCAGTATAGATCTGGTCAGACCTTTTGCAAAAGTCACTGCTTGAATAGAGCACAATACATTTTCTTTCTGATAATTAACTGCCTGTGCTGGCTCTGTACATCCAACCTTTTAATTATGTGACTCATTTCTTATCCCTGTGCCATTAGACATCCAACAGAAATAACAAAACAAAAAAAATTCAAGAAAACGCTTTTTGTAAAATTATAGCACAAGTTAAAAAAACATTTTATTATCAGCTAATTAATATATTTTGAACTCCCACATAACGTCTGTTCTGTCCTTATTAGTTGTGTGTAGTGTAAACCAATCTTACTAGCTTCTCAAGACGCATACATAAGGCTCTGTCTCAGACTTTTCTGACTTAACTTAAAGCCAACTGAATTACAAGTCAAACCGGTTTTATTATATCTACCTTAGAGTTACAGTAACAGGAGAGATCTACTTGTTTGTTATCTCAAGGAAAAAGATTAAGATCACATTTCCAATCATATCTACCTGCTGTTCTAAGAAACACAGCAGTAGTGATTATTTCCCCTAATGTACACTTTCGCATAATGTATATTTTATATTATGTGACTTTTTTTTCTTAGGGTTAGAGAAACATGCCAATGCCGAAATAAATATTAATTCATTTTTCTTTTACTGTTTTAGTAGATATACCCCTAATTAAAACATGCATGCTCTGAATTGTGCAGAGTTTTTTTTGTTTGTTTTTTTAAATTGGGGGTATATGTAAAATCAGCTTGCAAAAGGTTCAGATTTCTTAATGGAAGTTTTTATAAGCCCTCCCCTTCTAGCCCCACCCAGACTTTATGTGGCTGTCCAATCACAGACTTTCCAATGCAGCTCAATGATAAGTCTGTGCAAGGCAGGTGCTGTGGGCCATTGCTACCTCTAGAGTTTAGCTCCACTGAGCAAACTACACCAGGAAGTATCAGGACGGGTTGTCTGCATGAAAGCCATGTTCAGCGTAACCACATTTATTTATAAAGTGTCAATTTCTATTGAAATCTGCTTTTTTGTAAAATGAAAAAAAAGAGGACAGACTTTTCGCACATAGAATATTTCGGCAAGCTAAAGTACTTTAGGGGTTATCTAACTCAGACCTAATGTGATAGAGTTGAGGTAAACAGGCTGCTTTGCTAAATTCCGTTGACGGTCAGTTTACTGCAATTTGTATTTATTTATTTTTCCTCTTTCCATCCATTGGAAATGTCTTGCATTTTCCATAACATTTTAATTATTATGTTTGCACCTTAAGTATAGAGCTTAGCAAAATCCATTAATTTTTGTATAAAGCAGAAAAGAGTTAGGAATACATTTTTTAAAAAAAGATTACTATCCATGTGTAAACCACCTGAATTGTGTTACGTGTGTTGGCATAGTGATGGTACTGAGCATGGCACTGCCATATGATGTAAATGAGCATTTCATCAACTGAGAAAAGGGATTTCAAATATGTTTTTTTTGTTTTTTAATTGATGTAAGTCAAGCATGTCAAACTCAATGGTTAACACGAGCCAAATAAACAAGGTTTAAGTTTATGTGGGCCACAAAAAACAAACTTCAGTTTCCTTAGAAACGTAGGTTTATTTAGAAAAGTACAGTGTAAAAAAAGTTGCTTTACTGACACTGGAAGTTCTCATGCTCGTAGGGCTTCAAAGTAAACAAGAGTCAATTTATTTTAAGGAGACGCGCATTTGCATATAACCAATGTTTCAGTCCAACTACTTTGACATATTAAGAAAAGTTTGGTAATGGAATTGAAATGGTGAATATTTGCTGTTGCACAGATGTAAAAAACAAATGACGTTATCTTGTTGATTTTGAAGTTCTACGAGTGTGTTCTTCACTTTGGCTGAGATCACCAAGTTCCATCGGAAAGCACTGGGAGGCAATATTGCATGTGTGGCAAAAAGCTGCGTGGCCAATCAGCATCTCTATGAGGAGTGTTCATCGTCTCCATGCAGACCCAATTTAATAAACTGCCCCTCCCCCCATTCTAATACACTACACACAAATACAAAACATTACCCCCAAATCAAATACACTGCCCCCCTCCCTCCACTATTACACACTGCCCCCTCCACCCAATCTAATACACTGCCCCCTCCCTCCACTCTAATACACTGCCTCCATCCAGCACTCTAATACACTGCCCCCTCCTTCCCCCAGTTTAATACACTGCCCCTCTCTCTCTCCCAAACTAATACACTGCCCTTCCCCCAATTTAACACACTGCCCCCCTCCCACCACTCAAATGCACTGCCTCCCTCCCTCCCTCCCCCAACTTATTACACTGCCTACCGTACACACCACTATAATACGCTGCCCACTACCTTACCCCCAAATAAATACACCGGCCCCTCCCTCCCCCAAATGAATGCATTGCCCTCTCCCCCACATTAATACACTGGCCCCCTTTCTCCCTAAAATGAATAAACTGTCCCCTCCCTCTAATGAATACACTGCCCCCCCTCCACAATTTAACTCACTACACAGGAAGGTCCCCCCTACCTTAAGAAGAGCTGCAGACGCTCCTCTGGCACTGCGATCAGGAGGGAAGGGGGGGGTGGCTGGCCTGCTCTGCAGACAGACAGACAGACACTCTGCGCTCTTGTGTCCGTCGGAGGGAAGACAAGAATCAGACAGGAAATATTTTTCTGGTCTTGCGGCTGGTTGCAGCCACAACACAAAGTGGCCACAGGGCAGGCGGCCGCAAATATATTCATTATGAGCCACACGTTTGAGATGCTTGATGTAAATCATTTGAGCTCCATAAGCCTTTCTAATTTAATTTTAATGAAGTTATTATTTTATTGCAGAGGAATTGTGAAAGTGATGTAGAAGATGATACAGTGAAGAGGAAACCAAGTCTACCCAGAAGAAGGAGCAGCACCTCCTAAATGATATTGATACTGAGCTTGGATGCCCAGGGTTGAAGGTCAAGGGATCTTCTGTGAAGGTCAAAGAGTGGCAGGAACCATAGTCACAGAGGGATGCTGTGCATTCTAATACAACCTGTATTGCAGTAAATATACTTTTACAATGTTGGATCCATATGTGAAATAGCATTTAACTGCCCCATTGTTCACTTTTTAATGTTTAAGTAATATTTGTAAACCAATTCAATTTGAAAAGTTCTCTTTATTAAACTTGTTTACATTAAATACTGTAAAGCTTTGAATCTCGTACAGCACATTTGTTTTTTTTTTCCCATTATAAACAAAATATTAACATAAAAATATGTTGTATTAGTGATTGGGGGAGGGGGGGGTTAGTTGTTTCTTTTTTAAAAGTTTTTTTTTTTATTGTCGATGGCAAATGATGTTCTAACGGTATTTTATTCTTGTATTTTGGTGAAATTGTATGACAGTTTACAATTTCTAAAAATAAATGTATATACGTTTCAAGTCTTTTAAGAGTTTTGGTTTATTTGTTTGTTTTTGTATTTTATTCTCAGTGAGTGAAAAGTGTGTGAGTATAGCTAAATTATTTTATATCTGTATTGGCAGGGCCAGATTAAGAGCCCAGTGGGCCTGGTGCTGACAATTATGACGGGCCTAATTACAAAATCCTATTGACTAAACACTAAAACAGTCCTACCTCCTAAGCGTCATGTATCTGATAGAGATGGTGCTGGAGGGAAACTCATAGGATGCAGCTATGAGAAAACACATACCCTATGCTAATCTCACACTTTCATCTTTCAAGTAAACCTGTCCCATACCATACCCCCTAACAGCAATGTCCAGTAAAGCAGGAAGTCTATGGATGGGGTAAAAGGGTGGGCCACTGACACAAATCACATAACCAGAACTGCCGAAAGGGGCGAACATACACAAAAAGGGGGCATGTCGGTGTCCCCATGTATCTCAGTCCCTTAGTGTCTGTGTCCCTATGTCTCCCAGTGTCCCCATGTCACTTGGACACTAGGGGGACATTGAGAGACATTGGGACACTGGGAGACATGGGGACACCAAGATACTAGGGAACACTGGAAGACCTAGGGACCCTGAAACTCTTGGGGAAACTGGGTGACTTTGAGACATGAGGGGACACTGGGAGACATGGGGCACTGAGACACTGTGATACATAGGGGACACTGTGATATATAGGGGACACTGGAGACTTGATAAAGACCTGGGTACAGGTCAAAACATTGCACTGTCCAATAAACCTGCTTAAATCTATCACAGTGAGTGCCTGAGATTTTTTTTTTCTTTTATACTAGGGGACACTGAGGCACTTGGGGGCACTGTGAGAAATGGGGACACTGTGAGACTATGGGATTCTGAGAGACTAGGGGACAATGAGAGACATGGGGCACTGAGACACTCTGATACATAGGGGACACTGGAGACTTGATAAAGACCTGGGTACAGGTCGAAACGTTGCGGTGTCCAATAAATCTGTTTAAATCTATCACAGTGAGTGCCTGAGATTTTTTCTTTTATACTATAGACACTGAGACACTAGGAGACATTGGGACACTGGGAGACATTGGGACACTGAGACACCAGGAGACTAGGGGACTTTGGGAGACTAGGAAACACTGAAACACTAGAGACAGTGGCACACTATAGACACTGAGAGACATGGGGATACTGAGATACTAGGGACCATGGCTCTCAGTGTCCCCTAGTGTCTCAGTGTCCCCATGTTGCCCAGTGTCCCCTAGTGTGTGTATCCCCATGTCTCCCAGTGTCCCTTAGAGTCTGTGTCCCCATGTCTCCCAGTGTCCCCATGTCACTAGGGGATACTTAGAGACATTGGGACACTGAGACTTGGGGACACTGAGATACATGGGGACACTGAGAGACTAGGGCACTCTGGGAGACTAGGGACACAGACACTAGGGACACTGAGAGACACCAGGCACACTGGGAGACATGGGGACACTGAGAGACACTGAGACACTAGGGACACTGGCTTGGAGACATGGGGACACTGAGAGACTAGGGGCCACTGGGATACATGGGGCCACTGTGTCCCTAGTGTCTCAGGGTCCTCATGTTCCCCAGTGTCCCTATGTCTCCCAGTGTCCCAATGTCTCAGCGTCCCCAAGTCTCTCACTGTCTCGCAGGCTCAAAACTGCTGTCTGCACTCTCTGTGCAGAGCTGCTCCCCCGCAAATCAGTGAGTAGAGAGAGGCAGGGAGGGAGATGCTGTAACTTCTTATCCCTGCCTCTCTCCACACAAACAGTGACCCTTACTGGCCGGCGCTGGTATTGTCAGAATAATCTCTGTTTATACTGAGACAGACATTTGTATTGCCGGTATTACTGTAATACCGGCTACGCAGCCTCAAATACATGAGAAATACTTCTGAGAAATACCTGGCAACCATAAGAAATACATGAGAAATACCTGGCAACCCTAAGAGTAGTGTGTAAAAAAAAAATTTCAAAAAAAAATATATATATATATATTTTTTTTTAAATCAATGGGCCTGGGCCTGGGCCTGGAGGTGCAGCTCCATCAGCCCTTATGTTAATCCGGCCCTGTGTATTGGCCAGGAAGTGGATTCTCAGTTGTTGCAGAACTCACATGATGCTTTGACAACTCTTACAAATACTAAAGCAACATGGGAGTTGTAGTTTTTGAACAGATGGGGAATTTAACTTTTAGTTGCCCTGTTTTATATTAGCCCCTTAAGGACCAAGGCTATGTAGAGCATTAACATGTTAGAGACCAAGGCCTTTTTGGCACTTTTGTCATGCATTCATTCTACCACAATTTCCACTGTTCTGTTTAAGAACACCCATATATATTGTATATCAATGTTAAAAGAAATAGGGCTTTTTTTTCATACCTTATATGTATACATAACAAATGGGAAAAACATTTAAAAAACACAACACATATTTTTCTCAGTTTTACACTTATAAATTTATATACAACACATGCAACTGAAGAAAACACAATCAAATTAGATTAAGATGTCTAGGATTTCAATGCATTTTTAGAATTTATAAAATTGAAAAAAGTGAATCATTTAAAGCAAAATTTGGCATTCTGTGTTTAAATTTTTGTATAGAATTCACGGAATTCAAAACTTCTACAGTAAAGTATATATTTCTAGAAAGTGCACCACCCCCAGGCTATTTCATTTAACCACATTATCACAAAGCTTGGTCAAAATATAAAATTTGTTGAGGTTTTTCACACGTGTTTTATTTTGGGGAAATTTACAGACCAAGTGTGTCATACTACCAGAAACACCTCATATTTGTATTCTGCTATTGTTCTTGAGTAAAATGATACCCATATGTATACCTTTTTCCCTAAACCAACCCTTAATTTTTCTTACTTGTTATCTCAAGAAATTATATATGGGTAAGTCAGAATAAAATAAAAATACATGACCTCTATGGGCTCCGTAGTTTTCAGGAAATAGATTATTATAATATAACGTGATTGAATGAACACTCAAAATAACAATAAATTCTGTGCGCTAAGAACCATATTGATCATACATGTACATGCATGACATAATAATTTACCGAAGGGAAAACTATTGAGCTTCTCTTTTAGCTTTTTTCCATCTCCGATGTTTCGTGTTCTCTGAGGTTTCTGTTTTTTTTATATGTCTGGGAAAGAGTAGTGACTTAAAACAACACTTGTCAGTTTTGTTTGAAAAGTAGCAATTGATCCCAGCCAGTCAATTGACCAGTGGTCAGGGAACCAGCCCTCAAGAATCTAATCATCTCTGTTGACAACACTCTGTTTTGATCTGTAATCTAAACCATTAGTTTTCCAAACTGGGATCTGGAATTCACATTCTGGGCTAAGAAATCTCTCCAACTCCAGTGGTGGTCCACGTAGGGTGGTAGTAGCGTCTCAGATATGGAGTTCTCAATCGAGCTTTATGTTAATAAATTATCATCTTATTGTATCCTTGCAGGTAATTGTGCCACAAACCCATCTCAGTGAAATACATACAATGCATAACTCATCCTGCTCTGTCCTGTTGTATAACTACAATACCTTTCATTGGGATAAGTCAAAAGATCAGAGCTGGTTAACAATCATATTAACACCATCTCCCAGACCTGACAACTTTGGCAGGTGTTATTGGGAGAGATGGGGTGGTGGGCGGCGCATGGTATGTAGGTAGGTGTGGTCGTGGCACAATTAGCATTGCAGACAATGAAAGTATTGTAAAAAAGTACATTATTTGCACAATTATTGAGAAGAGAGCACTTTTGATACATAACCCCCAATGTGTCTGTCCACAAATGATTACTAATCCCTATGTGCATGTACAACAGCATAACTGGCTGCCCTGCACGTTAAGTAATTAGGACCACCCATACACTTAGTGCTGTTATTATACTAATGTATGGACTTATTTATGTCCTGAAATTCATTGCAAGTTAATTAATGCAGTCATGGTGCACTTTCCTCAAAATGAGACAGCACCACCATATGGCAGGTCTGATATCTCCACACACTTATGAATAAATGCTTTATTTTAAGCACTTTAAACACTATTCCCCATAAACAAGGCAGTGGATCAAGTAGTCTTACAGAACACCTCAATTGTAGAAAAACCTCACAGAAAATATGTAATCTTCTACCCGCTTATTCCTGAAAATTCTGTTCCTCATTACCCACATTTAAAGCATGTTTATAAACCCTTGATGTTTGACTCGGTTTTCTATATGTTTAAATATGTAACCTTTTTAACAGTATTGTATTGTTTAAGTGTCCCATGACTTGAAAACAAGACAAATTGCAATGAACACTTTGTAAATAAATGAAATTCTCCTCAACATGTGTTTAAGTAAATAAATGTTGAGAGGGGAGTGCCACCTACCTTCCCTTCATATACAATAATATAAAGTGTACACAAAGACGCTCACAAAATTTCCTCAGGATACTGAAAGTTCTAGATACTTGTTTTAAATCAAGAGTGCTAACCCTGGAAGTGCCTGCAATCACTGTAAGCAGAGCTGAAGCGGGAAATGAAGAGGGGACGATACCTGCCTGGAAGAAAGGCTGCAGCGGAATAGGCAGAGGGGACGATACCTGCCTGGAAGAAAGGCTACAATGGAATGGGCAGAGGGGACGATACCTGTCTGGAAGGAAAGCTGCAGCGGAATAGGCAGAGGGGACGATACCTGTCTGGAAGAAATGCTGCAGCGGAATAGGCAGAGGGGACGATACGTGCCTGGAAGAAAGGCTACAATGGAATAGGCAGAGGGGACGATACGTGCCTGGAAGAAAGGCTAAGAAAGGCTACAATGGAATAGGCAGAGGGGACGATACGTGCCTGGAAGAAAGGCTACAATGGAATAGGCAGAGGGGACGATACCTGTCTGGAAGAAAGGCTACAATGGAATAGGCAGAGGGGACGATACGTGCCTGGAAGAAAGGCTACAATGGAATAGGCAGAGGGGACGATACGTGCC